ACTGAAGATACCTTGCAATCGTCACTACCAGAGACCAGCATTGATGGTTCTGTTCGTGAAAAGTCAACACTCCAGGCCCGTTTTTCATGCTCTTCATACTCCATAAGACTCTGCCACCAGTTGTTCACATAAAATTTTAGATACTTTTCAGTTTTCACGATTCATGAGATGATATTATAAGGCGCGATGTTAGATAAGTTGGGAAAAGTACTCACCTGCCTAGTAGTTACATCCCACACCGTTACTATTCCTTCATAATCACTGCTAGCTATATGATTTTTCTCATGCTTATTCCAACTCAAGCAACTAAGTTTAGACCGAGTTGACATCTCCACAATCGGACACTGCATATCTGCTGGTTCATTTACAACCTGAAAAGTTGTACCAAATGATAAACCAGTCCAGAGTGGTCCATTGAACAAGACAGAAACTAAAATCAAAATTTGACTATTTCCAAGCTTGGATTTATATTTTCCACGCAATACTAAAGTGTAAATGGCTATCATGCATCACAGCTAGATTTTCCCAAGAGCATAATTTAGTTTCATTATCAATGAAGCTTTCCTAGAATTGAGATGCATGATTTTGTTCACAAAAGCATAAATTTCGACAAGAATAATCAATTACTATGTAACTGAATGTCCTCCAAGATTTTTTAACGTACCGATGAGAAGTCAAAAACCTTTATACATCTAGAAACACCAGCAGTAGCAAACAGCTCATCATCACGATCAAACTCTATGCTGAAAAGGAATAGCACCCACTTCTTCAGCAAGTCAAGCAATATGGTACATTACATTACAGGTCCATGCAAAACAAAAAGCATGTAAACTACTGAAAGACCATAAATCAAAGCACATAGAGAAAAAAGATAATGTGCCCAGGAGCAACTGAAAAAATCTTTCGTCCCTTCATTGAGAAAAGTTACTTTCATATTAAAGATCGCAAACAGCTTTAAAATATGTTACGACATAGATAAGGAGAACATAGTGTTCCATCTTTTAGAAAATTCTTCTCAAGTGGCTTGCCGATAACACAAAACCTTCTGCCTACCATGTCAGCAGAATCATCTTCATACCATTCACTGGCTTAGAATTATACAGCAACGGATCCCATAGTAGTAATTGAGTCTATCCATACATTAAACAAAACTTGATCACTTAATGGTACATTTTGACACTTTCTGAGACAGTCTTTTAGAAGACGCTCTTCGTTAGTGTTCATCTTTCATCTGCTCAAACGAATAAGGAAAAGAAGTTCACCTTGATACAATGTTGGCTGAATGAAATATATCCCCATGCCGGATTTCTGCTATGACTCTTAGACGACTGTGAATAAAGGGGGCAATTAAACATCTGATAAATTCGAAAACACTCTTTATGTACAGCTAGACCAATTGAAAAGGAACAGTCACTACCCTACCTGTAGCGAGTGAAGGTAGTCAACACAGATTGAAAATCTGCAAGGCCATTGCTATACCCTTCCCTCCGTACTACACTCTTATCATTTTCTTGTTTACTATTTGGTTGGTCCACCAACTGACGCCGCTTTTGGAGGTAACATTCTTGTAGATCATTGAACTACAAGACAAGACAAGACACACACACAGAATTAGGCAATCTAGTGTATATATCAACAGGCAGTTACATATAGATAGAAAACTACTATAATTGTCTAGATGCCATTGCATAATATTCACAGAAATGATAAGTGTGCCTCGAAAACATAGTCTTTTGTTGCTACAGTACCAGAGAGACAAGAACCGGCTACTATCACTAAGCAATAGATATAAAGTCTAGAACACTATTTCTACTTTTATATGCAAACAATGCGAAACCGATTACTCTCTGAAGCCAACCGGCCTGTATACAGACCACCGAATATGTGAGCCTTAATAGAAGGTGTCTTTTCCGTAAGTAGACTCGTATTCTACCCCCAACCACTTTCAGTTTTTTGAGCTGTCGATCCATCTCACTAAGTGAGTAGCTAGGCATGATACTACTTGTAGCACAATTCTATAAATTGTGTTTCTCTTTAACAGACTAAAATCTGAAACGTTAATCCCGCTGTCCTTGGACCATCTCAACATAAAAGACATGTTCAAGATGTTGAGTAGACAAGAAAGAGCAAACCTGCGCATGGATCCGTTTTTTTCTAGCCATTGAGACAGTTGACTGATTCAAACTTTGGGAATCTGACCCACTCAGCGCGTCCTTCTTTGGTAGCCCATGAGAGCTTCCTTGTGCTTTTCCCTCTGCCTTTTTGTTTTGATAATTGCCTACCAAATTTCCTCCTCTTATGCTCAGAGAATTAGAGTTGAGACCACTGTGGTTCTTCTCATGTGGCCATGCATTTCTTGTGCTTGGATCATCTCCAAGCATCCGCAACTTTACAGAATATCTGTCCCTGGCTCGGTATAAATCTATTCTGTGTCTCTCAACGGCATTTATATCCTCTTTGATATACTGGAGATCAGTTTGCACCTACATTATGATAGAAACTGCATAAATGACAGAATTCTGTAACAGTCGTTTGTTCCTGAGAACTCATCTAAAACATTCATGGATAATGTCTCAAGAAGAGTTGGGATAGAATTATTGCTAGAAACATGTTTCTGGCTTTCTTCTTTAACTATTAGTTTCTTCCTTTTACAGCATATTACCCAGGAAAGATTTTAAAGCAGATGGAATGGAGAGCAAAGAGATTAATTACTAATAGGTATCTTAATGCTACTCCATAATCCAAACAGACCAACCTCATTTAGTTCATCGACCTTTTGCTTCCTTAAACAATGCAAAAAGTCCAACAGTATCTGCATGTTCCTCTCAGCTTCTTCCTGTTCTATTTTTCTCTTCCTTTCCGCAAGAAGTGACAGAAGATTATCAACCTCCTTAATTGACACATCACAACCCTGTCTAAGGATGAACGCAGGAAATCAATATTTGATCGATAAGAAATGACTTAGAATTTGTTCTTTACTGATAAATCTGAGTATGCGAATTTAAAGAGGAAAACTGGAACATAAAGGCTTGTTAAGAACCGACCCTTTGTAGTGCTTCCCGAAACTGATCCAAGGGCGATGCAGTTTTTGACACGTGTCGAGCTGAGGTTTTCTTCAATAGCTACACAAGTGGTACAGAGAAGTCATATCATAAGGTGTATTATTTCAAGTTCAGTAAACAAAGAGTAAGTCTACGTTTGAACGTGCATGTAAGACGGCAATAAGTTAACTCCTCTCAACTGCAATAACAGAATCCTACCATAAACTACGCATCAGAAACAAAGCGAATTATCATCACAAATTCCTATCACAGAGTAAATAGTACTACTACTACATCATTATCACCTCTACTGCTTTTAACCTATTAACAAAAGAAAACACAGGTTCTCAAGAGAGATACCATTGAAATCTTTTCCGTGAACATCTACTCTATGGTTCATTGGCATTCGGTTAAAGACTAATCAGCTTCCTACTTCCACAAAAATAAAGACAAGAACTAAACTTGATTACAAGCTAAGACTCAAACGAGCAGCAGCCAAACTCGAATCGAAAAGCGAAGACACCAAAACCACAAAATACCCACTATCATGGACCCATAACAACCATATAAACTGACTCTCCAGACACAAACTATGAGCAAAAACTAGAGAAAGAAATAGAAACCTTGTCGAGTAAGAAATTAGGGTAAAGCTGATTATTAGTGAGATGTTGGCTACAACAAGGACAATCACTCTTGTTCCTGAGGTGCGTGATGATGCACATATAGCAGAAACTATGACCACACGCCGTGAGGAAAGCATCTTTAATAATCTGCATACAAATCGGACAGAGCAGGTCCTTATCCAGATCCGGCGCTCCAATCTCAGAGCCACCGCTTCCTCCGTCGTCATTTTCAAGACGATTAGCACCTTCTCCGCCAGCTGAAGATGTCCTCGGGTCAGGTTTCACCGCCGGAACAAGCGGATCCGTCGAAATATCTTCCATGAAATTTTCTTTTTCAAATTTTTTCTTCAAAAAATCGGAAATGTGAGAAAGTGTGGTGGGTATGACGGAGATGAGAGAGAGAAGTGAAGCCTGAGGTGTGGTGGGATCCACGGTGGTTCTTTTCTGAGGATACAAAACATACACGTTGTTTTCTACGCGCTTCTTTCGGCGCGTGTGGCTGATGTTTCTTCATGTTCGGGTACGGGTCAATTATCCGGTTTACTTTATCGCCCTCGGGCTTTCCGGTTTAATGAAATTCTTTTCTTCTTTTTTGGTTTGAAGCGGTTTAGTCATTATTGTAGACTACAACCTCAAATGTTCATTGGCAACATCAGTCTGTGATTGACGATGATGGTTTGTTTCGTCGTGTATTCGAAACTTATGTCTTGCAATTTCTAAACCAACCAAGTCTTTTTGATTTTTGAATGGTTCGGTTTGATAATTTTGATCTCAATTCTCAAATTTTTTAAATGTGAATATAAGAATTTACCCGAAAAGTGATTTTTTTTTTAATTTCTACATCACTCGAAACGTTCCCTCCCATTTGCTTTTTCTGGGAAACCCAAAGAGACTGACGGAGACCAGAAATGAGCTAAATCCCTCCTCCTTGCTGCTCTCTGATTCACCGGAACCCTAGGAATCGCATTTGTACTTCTCTCAAGGTACATCATTTTACTTGAATTTTCAGTTTTTTTTTTCTTCTTCTTCTTCTCCAATTGTTTGTAGCGTTGTCTCTCTCGCTGACTGCATGACGCATTTGAACTCGCCCAACAGTTAAAAGTTTCCATTTTTTCCAGATTAAGTTTGTTCCCCAACTGAAATTGATACCATTCTTAGCGATTTAGACAGAAATAGAAAAAAAAAATCAGGAAACAAAATCTCAGAACGACAATGGTAGTAAAGTTTTTAGCTTTTTATCTTTGGGAGTGGTCTTCTTCTTGAAGATGTTCATGGCGATTATCCTTTCTTCCTCATGTGTCTGAATAAAAACCCTAATAAATCAGAGTAAATGAGTTGTCTGAGGATGAGTGAGTGAGATGATCAGGGTTTAGGGAGAAGCAGTTCCAGGTCTATTATTCTTTGTTGCAAAACTCTGCCATGAAAAGCTTGGTAAGGGTTGCTTCTCGGTTCATTCAGGATATAGGCTTTATGTCATTATCGTGTTTCCTTCAAAATTTCAAGGATACTGACTCATCTTTGATCTGTTCTGTTACCTGTTTGATGGTTTATTGTTTTCTCTTTCCTTAGCTTCAACCTATTACAAGAATCTAGGATGTTTTGTGGTAACTTTGTGGCATGTTGTCCGCTGTAATATGTAATGATTTGTGATGTTCTACTCGTCTTTTTGGTGTGTTTTTCTTCTTCTTTCTGAGTCCTCTGAACATTGTATTTTGGGCTGATTTTTCCAAAACCTCTAGTTTTCTCTCTTGCAGATTATCTTCCCCTGGAAACATGGAGACATCTTCATCTCTGCCACTGTCACCCATAAGTATAACACCAGAACAGCCCAGCCATCGAGATTATGCCATCACAACTAGACTTGGAGTTGGAACTACAGGCAACCCAATAGAATTGTGCACCAATCACTTCAACGTTTCTGTGAGACATCCGGATGTAGTATTTTACCAGTACACTGTAAGATTGATTAGTCGCTTTCCTGCATTCATTTATCTGTGTTTGTGTGTCTATGCGATGTTTTACATATTTTGCTTTTTTTGCAGGTTAGTATCACCACAGAAAATGGTGATGATGTCAATGGGAAAGGGATAAGAAGAAAGCTTATGGACCAACTATTCAAGACTTACTCTTCTGATCTTGATGGTAAAAGGTTGGCATATGATGGAGAGAAGAGTTTATATACTGTTGGTCCTCTGCCACAGAATGAATTTGACTTTCAAGTCATCTTGGAAGGTTCATTTTCAAAACGGTAGGTCCCTCTTATCTGGATTGATATTTAATCTTCTCAAGGTGTGCAATATAGATCTTGTTGATGTTCTTTCTAACACAGTCTTGTTAAGTTTGTAGTGATGCTGATATCTCTAATGGTGATAGTTCTTCCGGTACTTGCAAGAGATCAAAATGTTCTTTCTTGCCAAGAAGTTACAAGGTTCAGATACATTTTGTTACCAAAATACCATTAAAGACTGTTCTTGTCACTCAGAGAGGAGCTGTTACACCAGATAAGAGTGCCCAGGATGCACTTAGAGTGCTTGACACTGTTCTGAGGCAGCAAGCAGCTGAAAGGTGCATCTTTCCATCTGTTTGCGTAATGTGCAGTATATATTATCATTAAGAAAAAGATACTTTCTACATTCTAAGGGACAAAGTTTATCATCATATTTTCACTTTGTTGGTAAATCTTTTTCTTTTTGGTCATTTATTGGTAAATCTAATATATGTACAACTAATTCGTTTTCTGAATAGAAACTTACTATAGAAAACTGTTGATTGTGCAGGGCATGCCTTTTGATCAGGCAGGCATTTTTCCATAACAATGGGTACTCCTTTGACATTGGAGGAGGTGCAAAAGGTCTTCGAGGTTTCCACTCGAGCTTTCGTCCAACCCATGGAGGACTCTCGCTTAACATTGGTATTTTTTTGGTTCACCTCTCTCATCTCCAGCTTACATAGTCTTTATAGTTGATAGCTTTAAAAATTCTCAAAACGGGATTGTTTTGCGATGGTTTGCAGATGTGTCAACAACAATGATCGTAGAAGCGGGTCCAGTTATTGAATTCCTGAAAGCCAATCAAAGTGTTGAGTCCCCACGACAAATCGACTGGATTAAGGTAATTCTGCTTTTAAATGCAATAACAAGGAACATACATGATACACGGTTGCTTTTGTTTTGAGCTTTTGAATTTCTCACTGAAACTTGGCAGGCCGCAAAAATGCTTAAAAATATGCGGGTAAAGGCATCACACCGAGACATGGAATTTAAAATCATAGGTCTAAGTCAGAAACCGTGCAATCAGCAACTGTATGTTCCCCATGATTGTATACTTCGATATAAATTTGTGTCACCTTTATCAACTTTTGCTTGACTTTTTCCATCGTTTTCCAGGTTTTTGATGAAGATCAAAGATGGTGAACGTGAAGAACAGACTAGAGAGATTACTGTGTATGACTATTTCAAGCAAACTTACACACAGCCTACTTCTTCTGCGTACTTGCCATGCCTTGATGTTGGCAAGCCAAATCGCCCTATCTATCTTCCTCTGGAGGTATGCATTTCCAACAGTTTTTTCTTAGTTAATTTTTTTAGTCTATTATCCCACTTCTGGAGGTGTAATTTTGCATTTTTCTCATATTTTTCTTGCAGTTTTGTAATCTTGTATCTCTGCAACGTTATACAAAAGCATTGTCAGGGAGGCAAAGAGCTTCACTTGCCGAAAAATCAAGACAAAAACCTCTAGATAGAATTAAAACACTCAATGATGTGAGATTTGTTTTCTGACCTCGGCTGATGTGTTTTTTTTTTTATCTTGGATGGTAGATATTGTTACTGACTAGAATTGTAGGCAATGCATACCTATGACAAGGACCCATTTTTGGCTGGATGTGGCATCTCAATTGAAAAACAAATGACTCAAGTTGAAGGTCGGATTCTCAAGCCCCCAATGGTAAATCCTATTTATGTTTCAATATCTGATAGATAAACAGGAGCTACCATCCCCCTTAAATTCTCATATTGTCCCATTTGTAATATACAGCTCAAGTTTGGCAAGAATGAAGATTTTGAACCTTGCAACGGACGGTGGAACTTTAACAACAAGGTAATTGTCTGCAAAGATTTCCGGTATCATTATATTAATTACTGTGGATTCTAGTTCCTGACTCTCTTTTTTTTTGGATTGAACCTATTATTCCCAAACTAGTCTTTCTCCCTTTCATTTGAACCCTTTGTTTCTTGCTTGCAGATGCTTCTAGAACCAAGACCTATTAAAAACTGGGCTGTCGTCAACTTTTCTTTTCCATGCGACAGTAGTCACATTTGCCGTGAGCTTATAAGCTGTGGCATGAAGAAAGGCATTGTAGGTTTCGTAGATACTCTCTCCATTTTCATATGGTGTGTTAAGTGTTGAACTATGTCTTTTCTGGTTATTTATAGGGTCTGAATATGGTTTATCAAATCGCAGGAAATTGATCGACCTTTTGCACTAGTTGAAGAAGATCCACAGTATAAAAAAGCAGGTCCTGTTGAAAGGGTAGAAAAAATGATTGCAAAGATGAAGTTGAAATTTCCAGATCCTCCTCATTTTATCCTCTGTGTCCTGCCAGAACGGAAAACTTCTGATATCTATGGTATCATCTCACCTTTTTCCTGCGGTTATTAAAGTTTGAACTCTCTCATTCAACTGGTTACTGCAAACTATAAAGGTCCCTGGAAGAAGATTTGCCTCACTGATGAAGGGATCAACACACAGTGCATCTGCCCTATCAAGATCAGTGACCAATATCTCACCAATGTACTTCTGAAGATAAATTCTAAGGTATAACACCAAAAGCTAACACATGAGATATCTTTTGATGTGTTGTTCTTGTGATTAACTTCTTCTCTTTTGTCTTGATTAGCTTGGAGGCATCAATTCTCTGCTGGGGATAGAGTATTCTTACAACGTTCCATTGATAAACAAAATTCCCACCTTGATTTTGGGTATGGATGTATCTCATGGGCCTCCAGGTCGGGCAGATGTTCCTTCAGTAGCAGCGGTATTGGTTATGTGCATTTTCCTTTGTATGTCCATTGTTTATGGTTTTCTTAGGATCTGGTTCTTTATCTGTTTACTTTTTCGACCTCTGCTACAAGGTTGTTGGTTCAAAATGCTGGCCCTTAATCTCAAGGTATAGGGCAGCTGTAAGAACTCAGGCACCACGTCTGGAGATGATTGATTCGCTCTTCCAACCTATCGAGAACACTGAGAAAGGAGATAACGGTATCATGAAGTATGTGAACCCTAGTTTATCAGCTTTATTTTTATTTATTTCATCAACTCATGAGATATCGTACTGAAGATGTTAAAGTGACTTCTCCGTGTTTAATTATTTGTTTCCAACAGCGAACTATTTGTAGAGTTCTATCGGACAAGCAGGGCACGAAAGCCTAAGCAAATTATCATTTTCAGGTACTAGCACGAAACATTTACTGTTTATCTCTCTGTTGTATAACCTCCAATATCCAATAGTCTATCCTTACCCAAAGCATTTGATAGGGATGGTGTGAGTGGATCACAGTTCAACCAAGTCTTGAACATCGAGGTGGACCAAATAATAAAGGTTGACTTAAAAGTCCCATGGCTTGTTTTGGCTTCTATCAAATTCTGTTTTCAATCTATAATTCAAATCCTAGTGAAGATATTGGTTAACAGTTTTGCTTCTTTTTTTTACATGGCACAGGCGTATCAACGTCTTGGTGAATCTGATGTGCCAAAGTTCACTGTCATTGTGGCTCAGAAGAAGCACCACACCAAGTTGTTTCAAGCTAAGGGTCCTGAAAATGTTCCTGCAGGTAAGAAATACTCTTTATTCTTCATCATCCACACTACGATTCCATTTCTCTCCAGAACAATGTCTTCATACAAAGCAATCATGTTTGTCAGGAACTGTTGTGGACACCAAGATCGTACACCCGACAAACTACGATTTTTACATGTGTGCTCATGCAGGAATAATAGTAAGTTTAGACAACAAAAAAAAAAAGATATTAAAAAAAACTGACGCTTGTTTATTTTCAAAAGCTTCACATCTAACACCTTTATTACAGTCCCACATAATGTTTCCCTCATAATGATATCTCAGGGAACTTCAAGACCGGCCCATTACCATGTATTACTTGATGAGATTGGTTTCTCCCCAGATGACTTGCAGAATCTGATCCATTCCCTCTCCTATGTGTAAGTTCTCTCTAATGTCACTTAGAAAAACCAAGTTATCTTTTCCATCACTAAGATCTAACTGTGTGGAATCATCGTCGTTACAGCAACCAACGTAGCACAACAGCAACTTCGATTGGTAAACACTCCCTTACCAAACTCTGTTCTAATAATAAAATTATGCATCCTTCTGTATTTTACTAAACAGAAACCACACAGCTGAATATTCAATGTAACCTCCTCTCTTTTGTGGTTTCTCAGTGGCCCCAGTGCGATACGCTCATCTGGCAGCAGCTCAGTTTGCGCAATTCAATAGGTCTGAAGAGATGATACTAGAGGACGGGAAAGTTGCAGAGCTACCACGTCTGCACGAGAGAGTGGAAAGCAACATGTTCTTCTGCTGAGTAGATATAAAGTAGTTCTGCGTCCCCTATCTCTCTCGCTAGTATAACTAAACCAAATCTTCTCTATAGAGGAAGTTGATCATTTTGCATATATGCTACAATCATCATCATCATCATCATCATCTACAGTAACAGTTTCATCAGAAAGAGCCTCGCGTAGATTAAAAAGAGGCTTTATTCGTAGGCCAAGTTGCGTTTTCTCCTTGATATGCGGGGATTTACAAGCTTTTAGGGGATAATATGTTTTTGGATTTTAATTTCTATAAAATGCAAACCATTTTGTTTTGGTTTCTCGTAAAAGTCAAAATATCTCTGTATGGGGCAGCAGAGAAAAGAAAACAAAAAAAAACAAAAGGCTTGACGTAAAAGTATTTCAAACGGTCAAACCGGTCATAACAAACCGCGTCAAAACCCACGTGCACACTAGAAAACTTTGTAATGAAGTGGACGTTACGTGGCACAAGACTGACGGGTCAGTATCATTTTTTGGTTACACACGCGTGGGTCCTACCTTGCTGTGCGATGCAGGAGATTACTTGTGCATGACTCAAAATATTACTCCTTTTGACCACTTTGCCCTTTCCTCTCTTAACTAATGTTTTCTTCTTTTAGTTCACGACGACGAGACGGGACGAGTCAAGAGAAGGAAGCTTATTTAGCTTTGGCTTGGTCCCAAAGCCTGTTTCTTTTTTCAAACTGTTTACGAATCGTGTCTGCTTTTCTATTCTTTTGTCCCTCTAAGATATCTAAAGCCGGTTTTGACTTATTAAACTTTCTTTTTCTTATTTTAATCCATACTTTCGTAATTTAGAATCAAAATATAAATATCATCAATACAACAACTCTCTCTATTCCCATTTCATCATATATACCTATGTTTCTGATATTTTTTTTTCTTTCTTTAAAACGGTTAATCTGTTTCCATTTATTATAAATAAAATCCTCTTCGTTTCAAACCAATCTCCTAATTTGGAAAAATAGAAAACAAAAGCTTAACTTGTGAGTTCCATTTATATACAGTAGTTAGATTGCTTTTAAGACAATAAGCCTGAGTTGTGTAGTAAAACCCCCCGAACCCTGTAGTCTACAACACTACACTTGTCCTGTCCCTATTAAAAAATATGATGTAATGCTGCAAAAAGGTCTCTTGGTAGATTCTGCCAAACTGCATTCAATGTTATTATTATCTTTTTACTCGATTGCTTTCTGTATCGTGCGTTACCTTAAAATCCAAACTTGTTTACCCCCAAAACAACAAAATTATACTCCAATTGTATTGTTTGTACGTCAGTTTCTACTATTTGTTCACCACTGGTTAATAATACTAACTAATATATATGCGAGATAAGCTTTTAGAGTACCCACCAAACGGCTAAAATAGGCGACGACCGTTCAGAAAAAGTTAGTCTCTGGATGGTTGGGAGATAACCCTACTCGTAAATCGTAATCGTTCATAGTCAAAGAGATTTCTATGAAGGAACCACATGGAATCATTTTCTTTTGGAAAAGATTGGAGAGCCAAGACGGTAAAGAGCATATTAAGATTCATATAGAATATTTTTGTCCAATAATATATAGTTTATTTGAGTAAAAGAAGTCTTTCGTGGTTCATGAGTGTTCGAATTAATGGATATAAAACTAATTTAACAGATCTAAATTATAGGTCTATGATAAATCTTAGTTTTATACTTCATGAGTTAAGTTCTTTTCACAACAAATAATCTAAGTTACAGTATAGCTTTCTACATGTCGAGTTTCTAAAACTGATGTAAATTAAAGAATTTTTGTGATACAATATTTTTTTTAGAAAAGAGAAAAACTAAAACTGAGGTAAAAGAAAAAAAAAAAAAAACCACAAAAACATAAGACATAAAAGACAACAACATAGGCATGGATTTGCAACTAATTGTACATTCTGAACCAATCGATTACAACAGATTTTGGTCATTAAGCGGGGTGGGCCATAACATCATAAATTAAAACTGGTCCTAACCGCAGATTAGCGTACCAGAGCATTTTAGTATGCGTCATTATATTTTAAAATTAAATAAAGCTCCCCTTAACAATAATAAATCTTATAAAAATGAGTACTTTTTTATTAAATAAAAACACCGTGTGGCTCACGCTTTCCTTTTTACCTCTTACTCAACACTAAAATGACGAAAACACCCATCATCCCCTTTTTTTCCTTTTTAATACATACTACATGCTCCCAATTATTATAACTTATGTAGTTAACAAAATGACTTCAGAAACTTTTTAACAAGTTTACAGCATTAGCTACAGTTTAGCTATAACTTAATAACATTAACTATCTCTATTAATGGTAATAAAATGTATTTAAAATGAAAAGAAAGCTCTCAGAGTGAGTCAATCAAATAAAGATAAACATTAATTCATTGAGCATAATAATATAGTTGGAAAATCTGTAGAGTGAGTATTATTATTTATTATTAGAGAGAAAGATTATAATTAAGAAAAGGACCCACGCACGCACCCACGCCACGCCACCGTCATTTAGTTAGATACGCAGAATGAAACTGCTTTCAAATTAGGTGTGTTTGTGTGTGTGATTGTTTATTAAATGTATATATTTTTACCCCAAAAAAAATATGTAATTAGTTTTATTTTTGTAAAATTTCTTTATTAAATAAAGAAATGTAGATATTAAAAATTATTATTGAGTAAACTTTTATTTACTTATAATTTGCAATAAATAATAAATCAAAAGTTAAAAGAAAAGTAAACTTTTATTTATTAAATCAAATTATGCATATTTGTTGAACTGTACAGGGAAATTCTTTTAGAAACCTAAGTTGTGTGACTTGTGTCATTATTTATATAAAAAAGTAATCATATCTTATAATTAATTAATATTTAATCATTGATTATTTCAGTATTAACTCTATTAAGATTAACTAACATATATGTTATACATTTATTTTAGATTGGGTAACAATATTTATTTTCTTTAGATTTAAAAATATAGAAAATCAATTGATTTTGTTTTTAATTAAATAAGGTTCCAAAAGAGAGAGAGAAGAGGAGAATAGAGGGGGTCCCACAAGGTTCGGATCGGACGGCTCAGATGGAAACACCACATTGAGAATTAGATCACGAGCAAACGAGTTTTTATGAAAACATATAGGGGTATTTTAGTCATTACACCTGGACCGGCAGAATTTATTAATCCGTACACGAGGGGGCAAAGACTCATTACTCAGCCACTGTTATTATTATTTCTTTATTTTTTTATTTAAACCCCAATTTTTATTATTTTTATTTTTGTTTTCTCGTATTCACATTGGGAAGAAAAAGGCAAAAACACCAAAAAGGAAGATCCGAAAATTTTCCCACGAAAATCTCAGATTCTGGGAAAAAAAAATTACAATTAAAAGGAAATCGCCAAACAGAGAATAAGGAAAAATTTCATTCCAATCGGAATATTTGGGCAGAGATTTGTCTTTTTTATTTTTTTTTTGGATTTGTTCAAACGATATAAATCTATCTTTGGGTGACACAAAGAAAAAAAAAAGTTAAATTTCAGAAGATCGTTTTTTTTAGCTTTTTTCTTCTTTTTATTTCACATTAGCTCTTCCTCATCGGTAAAAAGGAACAATCTTATTATTTCCTCTTTCTTTTTTGTTTGTTTGATCATTGTGATCATCGTCCCTCTTCTTTACTTAGTCACAACTCAAAGAAACGATTTTTGTCTCTCTGGTTTTTTCTTCTCCGAACATAACAAGAGACTAATAAGAGTTTCGTGATTTTCTCTCTCTCTCTCTCGCTCTCTCGCTCTCTTTGTGTGACTGTGTTTGTTTCTGTAACGAGCCATGTCCGAAACTCAGCAGCAGGTTCAGAACTCTACTGGGTCGATTCGATCTCCAGAAAAAATTGAAGGTAGTTACTCTTTTTCTCTCTTTTCCCATCAAAGATCTAATCAAAACGGTTTGTTTTCCGTAATGTGTTTGACGATCATATACTTTCTCTTGTTGTTGATTTTGATCATTCATGTCTCAATGTGATTGAGACTTTTGATCATTCAAAGTTCCAAACTTTTTTTGATGGTTGAATACGAATTTGTCTTTTTGGAGTTATCTTGTTGGATTCCTTGTGTCGGATCATTGATTCTGAATGCTTCTTCAACATTTATGGAAGTGAAAGATCACGTCTTTTTATATCGTGGGATTTTGTTATCTGTTTATGTATTCATAATTGTTATAAAGTTTAGATTCTGATTGCTCTTTGTGTGATTTAAAGTTATGACATTGTCTTATTGGCTTTGGAAAGTGGATTCTTATTTCTTATGATTTGAGTTTGTTGTTTTTTTTCCCCTGGTGATTGAGATACATAATGTTCTTGTCTCGTGTTCTTGGTGTTATGAATTTCTTAGATACCTTCAGGAGGATGAAAGTTAATGAAGACAATTTGGAGCAAGTTAGTCCATATCCTGATCGTCCTGGTGAGCGAGATTGTCAGTTCTTTCTGAGAACTGGGCAGTGTGGCTATGGAAACACCTGCCGATACAATCATCCTCTTACCCATCTTCCACAGGTGACCAACTTTGTGTGTTTTGCTTACTCTTCTTGCATCTTTTCTGTTGCTCTGGCTTACTTACAATTTGTAACATCTTGTAGGGTGCTATTTATTACAAAGACCAATTGCCCGAGAGGGTTGGACAGCCAGATTGTGAGGTGCGTTGCTTACATTATACTACTTATCATCTCAGTTTATGTTCTCGTGGCGTTGGTCTGAAATGTTTGAGCAGCTGTTCTAGTCTGAATACAAGATTGACACTTAATCTAACATCCAACACTCATGCTGCAAAACATAAATTTACTTTGAGTCTTTCCGTAATTGGAAAGTGTTAATAGTTTTGGTAGTTGATGCATCTTACTGTTTTATTTTTCTCTGAAGATGATTAACGAACACATTCCTCTTCTGTATGCATTTTCTTTGCAGTATTTTCTGAAGACAGGAGCCTGTAAGTATGGCCCAACATGTAAATATCACCACCCAAAGGATAGGAATGGTGCTGGACCCGTGCTGTTCAATGTTCTTGGTTTTCCTATGCGACAGGTAAGATTACAACGTGCAGATAGCCTGCTTATAATTACAGTTTATTCCATTAGTTTCAAATTTGACAGAAAACTTTATATGTTTCTTCTCTATCCAGGGTGAGAAGTCATGCCCGTATTACATGCAGACAGGATTATGTCGATTCGGAGTTGCCTGCAAATTCCATCATCCTCATCCACAGGCTCCTAATGGCCACTCTGCATATGGAATGTCCAGCTTTCCGTCTGTTGGTTTTCCTTATGGCAGTGGAATGACAATGATGTCTTTGCCTCCTCCAACATATGGAGCTATGCCTCGTCCTCAAGTTCCTCAGTCTCAGGCCTATATGCCCTTCATGGTTGCACCCTCCCAAGGTCTTTTACCTCCTCAAGGCTGGGCCACTTACATGGTATGTCTTAAATATATTTGCTCAGTTGTCAAGTAGAAACCCCCCTCTCTCTCTCTGCATGAAGTTACGATAAAAATAGATAGAGATTCTGCTATTAATAAACTCCACTTTCCTTTACAACATATTCATTTTGCAAAAGAATGTCCTAATCAGAAAATTCTCTCTTCTCTTTACTGTGGTGCAGGCTGCATCTAACCCCATTTACAATGTGAAAACTCAACCTGACTCCAGTTCTAGTGCATCGGTGCCCGTGGCTGTGACATCACATCATCACAGTTTTCCTGAAAGAGCTGAATGTAGGTTTTTTATGAACACCGGAACGTGTAAATATGGAGATGATTGCAAATACAGTCATCCGAAAGAAAGGTTGTTACAGTCACCTAATCTCTTGAACCATATTGTTCTTCCAGTAAGACCAGTAAGTCTCTTGTCCTTCTTTGTTTTTATGCCAACTTGAAATTTCGGCAACTTGTCCTGTTAACAGAGCTTTGGTGACTCTAATTCATCTTGATTTTGCTGTGTTCAGGGAGAACCAGCATGTGGTAACTTCAAGGCCTATGGATTCTGCAAGTTTGGAGCAACCTGCAAATATGATCACTCAATGCCACTAAACCCTTACAACAATACGGGCATGGCCATGTCTTCTCTGCCTACTCCATATCCTTATGCTCCACCAATTTCAACTCATCTGAGGATCTCATCGCCACCAAGCCCCTCTGATTCCACCACCCTCGCCAATGGCAAGCCTGCTCCAGAGAGTCAAAGCTCAGAGACTGAGAAACAAGATGATACTGCTACCCAACCAGAAAAATCAGAAGTCCATGACCCATTGCCACCAAGCCGCTCTGATTCAACCACCCTGCCCAATGGTAAGCCTGATGCAGAGGATCCAAGTTTAGAGACTGAGAAACAGGACGATAAACCTGCACAACCAGACAGCTCAAAAGTGCAGGAGTCATCTGTTATATCTACATGATCATGATCATGATCTCAGAATCAATTATATCATCATCACAGACTGGCTGAGTCTATCCCTCTCAGGGTATCTAACGATCTCAAATTGATCTCTCTGCCCTTTTTGTTAATTTTTTGGAAGGAGGGCTTGGAAATATCTATCTTTTTGTTTTTTTTTTTTTTTTTCGGTTTCGGAGACAGCCTTGGTTGAAACAAAATAGGAAAAGAACAGTGTTTTGATTTCGTTAATAAAAACTTGACATCATTTTAGCAAATTTTCAGATGCTCAACGTATCAGTTTCATGATTTTTAGCAACTATTCGATTCTTTAGACGCAGCAACTAGAAAAAGTTGAGAACCATCTAATAGTTTATGACTTTATGGATTTGCAAAAGATAAATTAGCATCTCTTTCTTTTTTTGCTTTACGTGAAATGAAACCCCCCACAACACAAATACACTAAATGCCAAATGGTAATCAACTACTCCCTCTGTATGACTCAGAGGGTTTGTCTAGAAAGGGTAAGCAGAGTCGGCTATCTTATTGCTGATGTGTCACGGTACGATTGGAGATACTACGTAATTCCACGGAGCGAATGTTCTTAAATCTGCTGCTTCACAGGATCGCGAGAGAGAAAGTGATACAATTTTATAGAGAAAGTGAGAGAAACAAGGAAGAGGAAGAGGAAGAGGAAGAGGAAGAGAAAGAGAGAAAAAAATGTACAAATCACCAATAACGTTGCTCACGCTTCTTACTCTTTGTTTTGGATCTTTCGATCTCGGCAGTGCTCTTTATGGATCTTCTTCGCCAGTGGTTCAGCTCACTGCTTCTAACTTCAAGTCCAAGGTATGGCGCTGAATCGATTTCATCTTTTTGGTCTATCAGCACTTCACACAATTGTTTCTCAGAACAAAACAAAGATATCTGTGAAGAGTTTTCGAGTGTCGCTGCTCGTTACCTCTCTGATTTCTTACTTTCAAACCATCGTTGAAGATTGATCTAGTTGGTAGACGAGAGAGTACGAGCGAGCAGTGTGTAGATCCGGTTTAGTTGCTATGTCATTGTTCCAATTTGTTGATTGTTGTAGTTGTTTGGGTATAACAGAAATGGGAATTGATGTGAAACTGTGTTAGTGTTCTTAACTTGTTTCTTTGCTGCAGGTTCTTAATTCAAATGGAGTTGTTTTGGTAGAGTTCTTTGCGCCATGGTGTGGCCACTGCAAAGCTCTAACACCTACATGGGAGAAAGTAGCTAATATTCTGAAAGGAGTTGCTACTGTAGCGGCAATTGACGCAGACGCTCACCAGTCTGCCGCGCAGGTTCGTGATGTTATCTCACATAGCCATATCTGTTGCTTGTGAATCGTATAAGGAAAACAAAACTGTTTACTCTCTTTAATGTACGAAGCTTAGGCTTTGGCTTACCCAATGGTTGTGATACTGACATTGTACTCTCTGGTCCAGGATTATGGTATCAAAGGTTTCCCAACTATTAAAGTCTTTGTACCCGGAAAGCCTCCGATCGATTACCAAGGAGCTAGGGATGCCAAATCCATTGCTAATTTTGCTTACAAGCAGGTTTGTCACATGCACCTGCTTGAGTCTTAATTACATAACTATTTCATTCGTCAAGAAATGAGTGTTTTTAAAGGCCCAATCAATTACTCTTTCCACCTTCTTGAAGTGTAAGTAGTAAGTACCACGAAGATATGTAGAGGAATCACACGATTGTCCAACAAATAGCAATGACCTGATTCTTTTTAAATATGTTTTCTTTGGAATCACACTATTGGCATTTTTTCATTTAAAAGTAAAACTTTCAAAAATACAAGGGCTGCAGTTGATGATCTGCGGTCAGCATCCTTAAGTGCACAATACTACTAATTGAAGAACCACAAGTGGCCATTATTTCATATTAATTTGCCTCGTGTAGCTGTTTTCAGATAAGCTTATTGCTGTTATTTCTTGCTCCCCAGATCAAAGGTCTTTTGAGTGACCGTTTGGAAGGCAAAAGTAAACCAACTGGAGGAGGATCTAATGAAAAGAAATCTGAACCTAGTGCATCTGTGGAACTGAACTCTAGTAATTTTGATGAGTTGGTCATCAAAAGCAATGAACTTTGGATTGTCGAGTTTTTTGCACCTTGGTAAGTTGTGCTTATTGGCCCACTGAATTGTTCATGCCTTCCAACTTCCTCGGTACACATCTCATCAAGATATAAAACTTATCTTTTCTTTCTTCTGAAAGGTGTGGACACTGCAAAAAGCTTGCCCCAGAGTGGAAGAAGGCTGCAAAAAATTTGAAGGGGAAGGTGAATTTAGGCCATGTCAATTGCGATGTTGAGCAGGTAATCACAAAATATGTTTTCAATTTAGTATTATTTCCTATCAGAAATAATTTCTATGACTCTTTCCTGCCTCATCTTTCTACTGGTTTCATTGAAAATTTACCATGAAAGTCGGCTTCCTGTGCCTAGTCTTTATCCATTTTACTTTGAATCATGAATTCTGACAAGCTGCCACAATGTTTTCCTTTGTACCAACACTCTTTTTTTCATTTTACCATTGATTGGTTCTGACCCAAATTGTTATATATTGCAGTCGATAATGAGCAGATTCAAAGTGCAAGGATTCCCTACAATTTTGGTATTTGGTCTAGACAAAAGCAACCCAACTCCTTACGATGGTGCTAGATCTGCGTCGGCGATAGAATCTTTTGCTTCTGAGCTTGTAGAATCTAGTGCTGGCCCTGTTGAAGTAACTGAGCTAACTGGGTCGGTATGTTCACATATTTTGCTTTGTCTCTAACAAACAATATATCTTAAATACTTCTAAGGTCGAACCCAAGAGATTGACACTTGTTCCATAATGATTATATAGGATGTAATGGAAAAGAAGTGTGGGTCTGCTGCTATTTGCTTTATCTCTTTCTTACCTGACATTCTTGACTCCAAAGCTGAAGGAAGGAACAAGTACCTTGAGATGCTATTATCAGTTGCAGAGAAGTTTAAGAAGCACCCTTACAGGTACACCAAGAATAATTCTATTCTCTGTGCTGCATCATTGTCCTCTTCTTGGTTAATGCCAATAATTTTTGAGCCTTCCCAGTAAGGGATGAAGAAACTTTAAGTTTTTAGTGTTCTTAGGAACCGAAAATGAACAAAGTATTGAAACCTATAGAAATATATATTACCTGATCTGAAAGTCTCGATTAAGAATGATCTCACAATCTTACATAAGTGTTAGGATATCAAATCTTAGTTCGTTTAGGAATTTTAGGACTTGCTTTGAGAACATCTGGACAAGGCTCGTTATTTTTGTGCACATCTCATATTATCATTTCTTAAAAGTCAGAATGAGAATCTCATGTAAAATATGATACATCTGCAGTTTTATGTGGGTGGCGGCTGTAACTCAGCCGGATTTGGAGAAGCGAGTTAATGTAGGAGGATATGGTTATCCTGCAATGGTAGCCATGAACATGAAGAAAGGAGTATACGCTCCTCTTAAAAGCGCCTTTGAGCTTCAACACCTCTTGTAAGTTTTGTTTAACTAGAGATCACAATGGTTCAGATTAAGTCAGGTGGTTTTCGCTCTTATAACAATGTAAGCTTCGCATGTGTTGTTACATCAGAGAATTTGTGAAGGATGCTGGGGCCGGTGGAAAAGGAAATTTGCCTATGAACGGAACACCTGAGATCGTGACGACAAAGGCATGGGATGGTAAAGATGGAGAGCTGATTGAGGAAGATGAATTCTCACTTGAAGAACTCATGGGAGGTGATGATGCTGTTAGTTCGAAGGATGAGTTGTGAATGATCCAATGGTCTTAACCTGATTTTGCTACTTTTGGATCTGAACCATGGAATGTGTTTCACCTTTTTATATTTTCCCAAAAGAGTGTAAAAGATCATTTCAGGAGATAGGAGAAGAACAGTCTGGTTTTGGGATTTAAGTAGACACATAAGAGAGAATGTGCTGGAATGATATTAGGAGTTAATCGCTCGAAACTTGTTTTAAGTTGTTGTCTTCAAAAGACTCATGAGTCATATAGAGGCAATAAAAAGAAACCTTCTTCTCATGTTACAGTAAAAATCCTAATCATAAGATATAAATCGAAGCATTACAGAACGAAGGTAAGATTGTTTTGGAATGTCAAAGCTGTGTTCTTCAGGTCTAAAACTTCTGCCGAGACAATCTTTGACTCTTAGTTCAAGTACCATGCAATAGTTCATAACTAAACCGATATAGTTAAGCTACTCCCTTTGTTCTAGCACTCTATATATTAGAGAGAAACAATATTATTTGCTGAAACCATTTGGTACAACGAGCAAGAAGTAAACCCTTTCGTTGCAAGTATCAACTATTCAGTATCCTGTGTATCCATATCCAACATAAATTAAACAGCTGATAAATTCAAAGGGATAGTGGAGAATTACACTATCTGAGATCAGCGGTGTGGATAAGGCAAAGACCTTGGATAAGCATACCGGGATGTTACTAATGAAGGTGGAAGCTCAGATTCAGTTACGCTTGGGTATCTTTGTGATGATCTGTAGTATTCAGCCAATGAATCCGCTGTAATATACCGGGAATACAAGTCATCATCTTCTCTTCTCGGCGAAGCCATGTATGTCCTTGACGGCCTTTCATACTCATAACTGTAATGCGGGTCTCTCCTGTAGGAGTCCAAAGCAACTGCTGAAGTTGGAGGGTTGGGCGAGTTTCGACCCAGGATTCCCCGTCTAGAACTTTGATGATCATACATGTGGTAGTCTCTGTCAGGCAAGTGAACAAGACGAACTTCCCTGCGGTCATGCCTCTCAATCTCTGCTTGCCTCAAAAGCCGGTCATGGTCTACAGATGAACGGTATGAATCCAAACGAACACGGTCTCGGTTGACAATATCATAAGAAGAATCTGGAGGCGGAGTTGGATAATGCTGGGTTGTGTCTCCCCTTCTCAAGCCGTATGTTCGATACTCTCTTTCACTGAGATATAAGTCACGCGGTTGTTCTTCTCTGCGTGGAGGAGGGGAATCACGTCTTCTTTCATGTGTACGGGTCGGGTGGGCTCTACTGCTACTAGGGGCGTAACGGTCTCTGTCAGATCTTTTCCTGTCAGCATCACGAGGAACAGGGATTGGCTGGGTGTGGGTAAGTTGTGCAGGAATAGCAGCTGGTCGGAAAAGCTTTTTAAGCTTAAATACCTTAAAGAACACCAGAACAGAAGAGAAGAGCAGAGTGAAGAAAACGGGTTAAGAGTTGAGATAGAGAAAATGATGAAAAATGTGAATTACCTGTTTATGAGTCAATTCCGTTTTGAACTTGTTATTATTGTTGTAATTCTCCTTGATTGCTTTTCTGAATTGGCTCTCAGGCAATGGTAAGCAATCACTAAAGATCTTAAAGCGCACCTGAAATACGTAGAATATTGATCCATAAGTTAAACCGATGAAAGTTTAACGAAACTCATATCATCTTCAAGACTACTGATATAAATGAAGTTTTGATTTTGAAGAACATGGGTGAAACACAAGGTTACCTGAGCAGGAAAGGATCCACCAAAAGCTTTGCGCTCAAGTTTCATCCCACCCGCAGAGGATGCTTGAAAAATTCCATAGAGGAGTTTGAGATCATAGTCATAAAGAAATAGCTTAAGCCCGGGTTTGATACCCATGACATAATCCTTCTTTTTCTCTTGTACGCCCATTACACTGAACCTAAAACAGTCAGGCCTAGTTTTTGTATTGCACATAAAGATCAATCCACCAATCTTTACTTTTCCATGCTCGTCCCTATCACCTTTCTCAGGGTTGACAAGCTGCTCTTTCCTCTCTTCCTTTCTTTGTTCTGTTGCATCAGCAGCAGTTACTACCTCTTTCCGCTGTTTCTTGTTTGAAACTAAATCCTGTTTTCTCTGTCTATTCCTTTTGCGTCTCTTGCCTTCAGCCAAGCCAGTTTTGGCTTCTACAGAACCGTCAATAGCTGTTTTAGCTTCCATCACGTTTCCTCCTGGAGAAGCTCCAGCATCTCTTTTATCTGACACTATTGATTCTAGATCCACTCCATCCTTAGGTCCCTGCAATATAGCTGCAGTCTCTTTATCCATCCCCTGAGTAAGAGTCCCTTTGACTTTTTTCCCCATTTGTCTCTTCAGAATGCTAGCTTTTCCCTTTACCTGTTTCAGTGTTTTCTTACCAGATAGTTTTCCTCCAGCAACATTTTCACCATCATCTGCAGGTTGAGGAGCTTCTGCTAATTCTTCTACGTTTTTCTTAAACTCCATAATATTTCCTCCAATAGAGTTTTCTAAATCTTTGTCTTTTCCAGAAGAAAATTGGGGGGAATCTGCAACAGACTCTGTAACCTTCTTTATTTCCTTTTCGCTTCCGCCAAGAGAAGGCTCTGGACTTTGTTCATCCTCTTTGCTGTTTACCACGGTTCTACCTTCTTTCATACCTTGTTCTACAGCGAAATTCTCCTCACCAGCCACCTGAACAGCAGTAGTAGTGCCTTTTCTGATTTTCCTTTTTACTAGCTTCTTGACTTTTTTGATAGTTTTAGTTTTCGCTGGTAATCCCTGAGACTTTTTCATTCCAGAAGAACTTGCTTCAACAGAATCAAGAAGGGAGAGTTCTTTAACAACAACATTTTCTGCATCATTCTCCTCTACCGGTACTTTTAAGGCTGCCAAAACCTGATCGGTATCCATTAAAGTTTCAACAAACTCGTCGTCATCTGCCTTACCTTTTTCACCAGCAGAGGTTTCCACAAGCTCATTCTCATCCTTTCCCTCAGCTTCAGCCACATCTTCCCCATTATTCTCAGCTACAGAGGCCTCAAGGGATTTCTCATTCTCATCTTTCTGAGCATCTTGTAGTTCCATTTTCAAGGAAAAAGCAGATTCCAATGTGTATTCACTGCAAAATAAACTTCAGTTACCAAGGAGTTTCAAAATGGAGGAAAAAGAAAAAAAGAAAATATCATAAATCATGGTAAAAGAATGAAGAAGTCTTGCAGTAATCAACTAAATTCCGACAAGGTTACCAAATCAAGACAGACAAAGCCAGTTGAGAATGGTGGAAACTGTGATTGGCATTTATTTGAACCTCTCACCTCAAAACAACCAATTTAGAAAGAAGAAAACAAAAAATCAGAGATCCGGGTAAGCTCAAACTTAGTTACTCTGAAATTGAGAGCAATATAATAATTCAAACAAAACCCGAAAAAAAAACAAAAAAAATGTCAAAATCGAATCTAGAGTCTGCTCCAATACCAAATCGAAGAAAGAGCAGGGATGTCGATGATGATGATGTCTCTCCAAATCCGCGGCACAAGATTCTGATTAGACACCAATATGGATCTTATCACAATCGAACATACACAGAAAAAGAAGAAGGAATTGACCAAAGAGTTTAGAGGCACAAAAAAGCTTCATTCAACTGATCATTGTTTGTTTCGGTGGTGGGTTTGTTAAACACAAAGACATAACCAGAGAAGAAGAGTAAATACAAATTTAATCAAAATCACCAAAGCAAACGCAAACGCAACGAGACGATGATGTCACACAATGGTAAATAACCTAGTCCTTCTTCCTACTCCTATCCTATCTAAATATGTTTGGGCTTCCCGTAAGGCCCATATTCTCAATGCCATCGTTTCCTCCCCTTTCTTCTTCTTCTTCTTCTTCTTCTTCTTCTTCTTCTTCACCAATCCTCAGTACAGTTCTCTGATTCTCTCATAGCTTCTTCCTTCGTTTCCTGCAATGTCCTCACAGTCGTTTCAGCTATTTCATCCATTAACTACACTGCGAATCTCGATATCAGTCGGCAATCCATGAAATTGTGTTAGTCCTCTTAACTTGTTTCCTTGCTTGCAGTTTCTTCATTCTAGTTGTGTTTCATCTAAAGGTTCTATTTTTCCATGGGATCATTGCTTGTGAGTCATGAAAGACTTAAACTTTTTACTCACTATATAATGCACAAAGTTTGTGCTCTGGCTTACCCAATTGTTTTTGGCTTTAACATTTGGTTGTGATACTGAACCAACCAATGTACACTCTTGTCTAGGATTATTGTATCAATGGTTTCCCAACTGTAATAAGGTTTTTGTTTCGGGAAAGGCTCCAATTGATCAACCTAGGAGAACGATATGCCAAATCCATTGCTAATTTTGCTTGGCCAGACTAACAGATAACATGTTCTGATAGAATCTGCCCTTAGGCCTTAGCTCTCTCATCTCTGTAGAAGAAGTGTTACTCTCTTTATACCTAGTGGAAATAGAGAGCTAGTTTAACGCACTAATTGAAGAACCACATCATGTCACCTTAATTCCATTCACATATAACATTCTCTATCAAACTCGTGGACCTTCACACAATTATGCTGATAGCTTTTGTTTTTTGCTTCTGTGGAACTGAACTCTAGAAATTTTGATGAGTTGGTCATCAAAGCCAATAAGCTCTGGATCATTGCGTTTTTTTTTTTGCAGATTTATAAGCTCTGCTTATTTTCCTAGTGAAATGTTCATGCTTTTAAACTTCCCTTAGTACAGCTGACTCCAAAGCTTAAGGAAGGAGGAACAAGTACCTCGAGATGATGTATTATCAATTGCAGTGAAGTTTAAGAGGCATCCTTACAGGTATACTAAGAAAGATTTAATCCTCTGTGCTGCAACATTGTCTTGTTTTCAATTAGTATTAACTGTTTCAGAGCCTCCCCAGTAGGGGAAGTTGAAGTTTTAAGTATGTTAGTTTTCTTAGGAACCTAAAATGAACAAAGGGTGGAAATTATAGAAATATATTTAACCTAATTGGAAAGTCTCATGAAGATTATTAGAGAATTAAATCGTTTTGACAATATCTGGTGAAATGTTCATGCTTATTTTCCTAGTATAATGTTCATGCTTTTAAAGTGTAACTGTATAAGGACTTGCTTTGACAATATCTGGGGAAGGCTCACTAATTTTCATGCACATCTCATAGTATTATCATTTCTCTAAGTCAGAATGAGAATCTCATGTAAAACTTAATATTGACTGCAGTTTTATGTGGGTGGTCACTGTAACTCAGCTGGACGAGAAGCGAGTTAATGTGGGAGGCTGCGGTATCCAGCAAGGTAGCTATGAACATCAAGAAAGGAGTATATGCTTCTCTTGAAAGCGCCTTTGAGCCTCTACACCTCTTGTATGTTTTGGTTTAACTATTGATCACAATGTGTCGTAGGTGATATTCGCTCTTATAACATGGTAACCTTTGTATGTGTTACATTAGAGAATTTGTGAAGGCGACAAAGGCGTGGAATGGAGAGAAAGATAAAATCTCACTTATAGAATTCGATGGAGGTTATGATGCTGTTGGTTCTAAGATGGAGTTGTGAAGAATCCAATGGTCTTAACCTTATTTTGCTACTTATGAGATATAAACCGTTGAATGTTACACCATTGCATAGTTTTCCAAAACAAAGTAAGAGCATTTCAGGAACATGTCTGCATTTGGGATTTAGTTAGACACATAAGTGGGAGTCCTGTACTGCAGTAATTTTACAGCTAATCTCTAACCTTTGTCAGGTGGCTTTGTCTTCATAACAGTCCTCCAGGTAAAGATCAAACTCAAAATCTTACCAAAACGTTCAAAATGAAACCAAACCACTTTTAACAATCGATGTCAATTTACATTAATGATCGAACTAAACTAAACAGAGTAAACCAAAACTTCTGAATAGTTCTTACACTCTCTGCAAACAGAAGAAGAGAAAACTATTTGGACAAGAAACAAAACCTGATTTAGTTTCTGTTTCATCTGACGACAATTCCAACAAGTGTTATCAATTACAAATCCCTAATACCCAAAGACGAAAAACCCCTGAAGTTTTAACCAAAATCAAACAACATTTTCTAAGAAAAATTGAACCTTTACAGCAAAAAAAAATCGAGTATTCTCAGAAATGTAGATCCTTTCTGTACGTGTAACCCTCTGGCGATAAACAGAGCATTATCAGAGATGGGGAGAATCGTCAAAAGAAGAGCATCCGTGGCTAGATTCACCAGAAGTAGAAGCGCCGTCGCTAGCCGTAGGAGGAGGGACGAGAGCAAAACAGAGTTTACCTCTTCCAGATCGGAAAGACCAGAGAGGAAAGACGTCGTTAACCTCAAACCTGTTAGCAGAAACCACATTTTTCCAACCTTTACATAAGACATAGTTCCAGTTTCCAACCATCTTCCACTTCCTCAATTCAAGGGCATGCTTCTTCATCTCAGGATCCACCAAATCCACACTCACACCTTCCTCACGAGTCTTCATCGCATTTTCGTGTATGACTATCGTCTCCTGCTCTGTCAAAAAGTCGTGATTTTTCACTTGTCTAAAAGGAACTGAGAGGCGTGCTTGAAGCTTGTCGAGATCAGTCTGATACAGTTTCCTCGTTGAGATCAGCTTTGGATTGTAGCCGTTCTCTTCTCTCCTCATCACGTTCAAAAGCCACTCCGGCGGACTCGTTTGAATTGGTTCTACCTCTAAACCACGAACGGTTTTTTTGAGTTTCTTGCGGCTTCTCTCTTCCACGTCAATCTGATCATGACGACGTTTCTTGATCTGGGTTACGCAAGAAGAGGACGAAGGTTCCGATTCTGCATTTGGGTTTTGTAGTTCCGATCTCTGTCGTTCGATCACACGCGTCCACGGTGTCGTTACCATCTTGCGAGAAGAAGATGATCGGCGACTTCTACTCTTTCTCGGAACACTACCCCCAAAGATTCTTGCTTCTACCTCTGTTTCTACTTCGCCAATGGTCTTTGATCTGTCTTCAGCGTGAGTACCGTACTCTTGATCGTAAACCATGGCAGCGACGTATAACAACATCTCGAGTTTGGAGTGTGAAACAACCCTAGCATCATCAGAGTTATCCATTTTCTTTTCGATTCTCTGCAAGACAGGCGAAATTTTGAAAAGGGGATTTTTTTTGTACCGTTGTACGCAAGAAACCTAGAGCTGGGGAAGAATGAGAGAAACAAAGAGAGAAGGCTTTGTGTGGTGTATTTATATTTATGACGTCATCTCAGGTTCTTCAAAGATCACACACACTAAATCTTCGAAGATCTTCTAATCTTCTCCGACCCTTACTTATATGACCGTTGTGTGATTATGTTAAAAATTCATCATTTGGCCAGTCTAAGATAAATTACCAATTTGTTGTTTGTTAATTTGTGACACTAAAATTTGTTTCTAGTGATTAACATATATAATTATGGTATACCAATTGTATATATTAGTATTTAACACATTACTTTATTATTATTTTTTCTTTTTGACAGCAAACACATTACATTGTATTCACATCATTTTGAGTAAATTATCTAAAAAATATTAATCTCTTTTTAATAAATTCAAAATTTAGAAATACAAAGCAAACATAAATTCATTTCATTGATATATAGTATATATTGTTTGTTTCATAATTTAGTATTAAACAATATAATAATTACAGTTTACAAATTCTATAAAAGGCTTAACTGTAAACCAGATTATAATTCTTATTTATAACAATTTCAAATCAAACCAAAAAGATTTTTGATTTTTGTTTCCAATGTTCGTTTCCCATAATATTAGCATCATACAGTGACAAAAAATTATGAATGCACCCAGGGCAAATTTTTTTTCCTTTCTTGATCATGTAAAAATGTAAAAATCATGTACAACAAAATCTGGCACACGCTTTTAAACCTAAAGTTTCAATTCATCATCAGCTAAAACTCTCTTTACATATTCTTACACAAGAGTGTGTGTGGTCGATGATATAAGCTCTTCCAGCTCATGACCCTTCTGCCAATAGGACTCATTTGCTTCCTCTCAGGTCTAAAGGGATTTTAAGTTTTACCATTTCCAATCTACTGACTACCCTCGTCTATCCTCCATAAGCATTCTTTTCTCAGCGGCGAATCTGTAAATGTAGCTTTGATAAAATCTTGTACCTGCATCAAGTACATTTCAAAACTTTCAGAATCTCCAGAACCAAAAACCAAGATCCAATTGTAGATTGCCTAAATCCAGATATCTGATGTATATCGATTTAGTTGTTATCGAGTCTTAGGATGTCTTTCATGAGGTAAAACGATTTAAGAACATTGTACCTCTGTTCTTGTGAAATTGCAACTTAATAACTCGCCACTTTCCCAAGCTGAAGTTATAGACTTGAGAGGCATAACCAATAGTTCTGGAAAATGAGAACGAATAAGAAAAGCTGTGGTAAGAAAATTTTCACTGAGCCAATGCAGCAATAGCATTATGCTGAGGGAAATATAAAAGAACGATAAGACGTACCTGCTAGTTTACGAGTTTTGCGCAACGATGGTATGAGATCATCAAGAGAACGAGAAGTGTCGTCTGCAGATCTCAGTGAACCGAGTAAAGAAGATAGGTTCTTCAGCATAAGATTTATCAGACTTTGTAGCTAAGAATCAATAAGCAAACACATAGTCAATAGCCAGTTACACAATAACATTACACAAGCGACTAGCAAAAAGATACCTGGAAAGTTTCATCAGCTGCCATATCATCTAGAAGAAGAATATCTCTGGCTATTCTGCGAAATACCGACTCCAAAATTACGCACATGCTTTGCTTGTAAGTTTTGGGCCGTAATACTGGTTCCCATATCAGATGAACTTTCTCTAGACTAAAGACAACCTATAAAACAATTGATATCGTCCTGATAATCATGACACTTGATTGGAAAGAAGGTAAAAAATAGCAAACAAATTCAAGTCTGAGCATTACCTGCTCAATGCTAAAGTTCGCAGATTCAAATTGTTTCGTTTGATGAGTATTCTGAAATCCATCTGCACTGTCAATAGCCTGATGATAGATGCAAAATATTAGAAAAGGAATCAATATTCTATAAACTTCACATAAGATTGCTTTAAGCACAGTTTTCTACACACAGATTCACCTCTCGCAAGCTCGAGATTACTAGATGAATTTGTTTCTGCAAAACTTCTTCTGACATCAGTTTAAATCTTGGGGCTATGTCAGCAAATACTGCATATTCCTTGATGGAGCTAGGGAAGCTAGCACGATACTGTGAACAAAATTGATGACATAGTCAGCCAATGGGAGAAATTCTAATTTTCATTTGTTAATCAAAAGGCTGCTTAAAAAGAGAATCTCTTAACCAAAGAGAGAAGTTTCCAAACAGCGGTTTTTTTTGGCTTAAAACACATTATTCATACCTCAAAAGCAAATCCAAGTATCTCTTCAAATAAATATAGACAATCGTTGTGCAGTAGAACAGCAGCTTGATTGATGCCATCGAGTTGTTTCTCTAGCTTCATATTTCGAGATAGTAAGAAAAAGAAAGATAAGAATTTGTGCATGTTGGTGAGAGATTTTGATGTGATGAACTAACTCATTTGTTGGATCTTTGAAACGTTTTTTCTTCACTGACCTTGACAGGCACAACAGCTTCATATAGAAGGATAGAATCTCGAGCAGCGTTGTAGAACTCTGAAGCAACTCTTGCAGAAGATACACAAACATCCTGTATAAAAAATGAGTTCATTATCTTAACCTTCTCTGGGACATGATCAGATTAAATTGCAGAAGTCTAATAAGAGCGACCTCAAGCGTCTTATGCACCAATCGCATAAGTTGTGATGCAGCTTCAGATACCACACACCTTTCAGATGAGAAAAGTAAGTAAACGATGTGCTTAGAAGAATTCACATCTAAAGACTCCACACCATCATACTTCAAATTGGCATTCTTTATAGCCTGGAAAAGTATTTAACAATCATGATCTTTAACATGAGAAGGTTAATATGACGATAATAATAATAATTATCAAAGTTCACCTGGGGAATCGTGAAGTTACACTGCAACAGCAAATTTCTTGCTGTTGCTAGGATTTCTATCTTCTTTCTCAATGCAAAATGAACCTCCACATCTTCAGCATATTTGCTGAGCCTACTCTCTGCGTCAGATGGTGAAACGAAATTCAATTCCTTAAGAGCTGCTTCAAATTCAGAGGTCCGCTCGATAATTTTCTGAAAGTCAGCAAGTTTTGAAGCATCTTCTGGGACAACCTGACTCCAACGGGAACAACAACCTTTTAGCAGACTACAACAGTTGACGTTCAAAGGAGAAGGGTGCTCTCTCTTTCTACCACAGATATTTCAACATGATTTCACAACTACCTTTGAAAGGAATTTAGATATGATCAGCTCTGATATTCTCGGCCATGTCAATCTCCCAAAAGAATGGATCCATGTAACATTTCCAAAACACAAGGAACTGCAAATGAACTTAACAACCTTAAGAATTCCTGAATATATTGCATCTCCATCCACATCTTCAATCTGCATTCGAGGGGTAAGTATTTAAAGGTTCAGAAGACATAGACCAATGCAGGATCCAAAAAGGACATAATCTATAGTAGGGACAGAGAAAAGAAAGAATCCATGAGATGGTGATAGAGGCTTCTCTAAACCTCATCTGTACCAGAAAATATATATACCTTGTGACCTGAGGATTGCTCTAGCCTTAATATCGCTTCAGTTATTTCCCCTGAGGTTTTACTTAAATCCTCCACAGCGGCAAAGGTAGATGCATGAGTTACAGCTGGCGTGATGACATGCTTGAAGATCAAATCAGCTGCTTTCGCAAGCCCATAGTCTAACATTCCAATCACCTAAAATATCCAGAACAGTCAGATGTAATAAAGGATATTGAACAAATGACTCATTACAGAAAAATGGCACTGAAGTTGCAATGATTTTCGCAATATACAGAAGTCAAATCATATATTTATACCTCCATTGCCTCGAGAACAGTACTAAGAGCGGTTCCAGCAGTTTCACCAACGCTTAGTTGATAACTAATCCTGAGTCTAGGCGAGTCAAGCTCGAAACGCACTGCATTCTCAATGAATTTTGCTAGGACCTCTTGAATCTGCAAACACAGACACGATTACAGCAACCAATCTAGCCATTGGCACTGGGCTACAACAAGGTTTCATTTTATTCAAACCATGCTCACCTGTTCAAAGCAATTAGACCATTCCTTCCTAAGCAAAGCGTAAGCCACAGGTTCTCCATCTTCCTCTTCACCAATCCTCAATACAACTTTCAGTTCTCTAATTCTCTCAGCGGCGAATCTGACACGTCCGTTTTTCAAAGCTTCCTTCGTTTCCTGCAATGCCTCACAGATTCCCACGATTGCAGTCACTAAATCAAGCGATTCTCTCTTCAATTTCACTTCCTTAGTCTTCTCGGTTATCTCATCCACTACACTACGAATCTCAACATCAATCGGACGGTCAGAAACCAATTGTAGGACATCGGAGACGTCATCGGAGATAAGACGAGTCCTCGAGACAGCGTCTTGACAGAGCGAGAAGAGCTCCGAGAAATCAGAGTGATGAGCGACGAGGTAGGACTGAACTTTGGACTTGATCCGTAGGGAATGAGACTCTAAGCGGTTTATGAGGAGGCGGAGATCCGGCGCCGATAAGGGAGTGGTAGGATCGTTGAGATCGTGTCCGGCGAGAAGGTCCCGAACATTGATCGATTCAAACAATGCGTCGATCTCCGGCATGACGGAGGCACGGTGGTCGTCTTCGTCGGAGGTCTTGGTGAGAGATTTGGCGGTGACGATGGATCTTTATTGGATACGATGATTTCATTTTTAATTTTAATATTGGGCCTAACAAATAATAAAATGTTAGGCTCAAGGCCCAAATATATCATTTTTTTTTCTTCTTCTCGTCACTTCGTTACGTACGTACCATTTCTTTTCCAATTTGCTATCGAGATGTTTATGTCAAATATGAATTCTGAATAAAGTTATTATTTGGAAGAAAGCAAAAAATAAAATTGAAAGACTGCAACAGTTCCTTAGCCGTAAGACCAGCTCAAAAGAAAAACTCACTACTCTTTAAATAGTAAATTCCATTTCTTATATATATAAGCATATGATTGTACGAGAAAGACATAATTACAAAAGAACAAGTTCAAAAAAGCTTTTAAAGTAATTAGTTTGATTAATCTATATTGTAATTTTGTTTCAGACAAGACAAGAGAAAGAAAGAGAAGGAAAGAGAGAGTGTCTGATATATCCACTATGGCTGCATCTAGAGAGTTTATGATCTGTTGCTTCTTGACACTACTCTTATGCAATTTCTTCATGAGAGGAGTCGAATCAGGTGCTGCTGCTGGCGTCAGCGCAGGAGGAGGATGTGGCGGCGATGGTACCCTCGGGGACGATAACGAGCGGTGTGTGGAGGCGGTGAAAGATGACGACGACGATGACGTGGATGATGTTTACAAAGTCATCAACAAGATGAGGATATATGCTTGATTCTTGATTCATGATTCATGATTCATGCTCATGCATGCATGCATGGTTCATTCTTTATTTATATATAGGGCTATATAACTTTTTTTTTACTTTTTTCGTTTACATTTTGCTTTCTCAAGTTTTCTTTTTTCGATATTCGAATTATGTATTTGTCTTAATTTATCTTTTCTTTCTTTTTTCCCCTTAATGAGAGAGATTGTGATCCGAAGCTTATATATCAAGAATTCTTGATTATTGAATTATATTTATGATCGTTTAAAACTATAGGAAACTAGCACACATAATTAACATAAGCTTATGTATCAAGAATCACCATCGAATCGATACGTCATACATCCCCAATGTTGAACAAATTGTAAGATTATTAATAAATACCATGATTATTTTTCCGTGTTTTACAATGAGATATAAATACATGCATAGACAACTCGCGATTTGTATTTTATACAGGTTAATACCTCAAAATAACCACAACGTAAAGCTTTTGGTTACATATTACGTATCAGAAGTAAGAACAACTCCGATCAAACACTAACATTTTCTTCTACTATATATAACCATTTTTTTCTAGATGATTTTCTTACAATTTTTCCAATAAACATTGGCTAAAGTGGATTTGTTGCGTAATAAAGAATGTTTCTGATGATTTAGTCCTCCGTAACCAGTGATCAATGTTTTGGGGTTTAAATGTTTGATCATATATATATTAAAGAATGAATAACTTTTTAAAAAACATTATGAAGAAAACCAACAATACATATATTTTTATTTCTTTATTTTCTACATAATAATACCATGCACACTCAAGAATTTCCCGTATACATAACAAATGACTGGTATATAAATATACAACTTACCATATTAGTATTAACTAGCTAGCTTCTACTTTAAAAAGATTATACTCATATAAAAAATGGTTACAAAATTGCTGAATTTTTATTGTTTTATGAAATTAGTTGTGAAGTTAACTTTTATAATTGTGTAGCATTAATAATTTCTTTATTTTCAAAAAGATGTATATCTTATTGTATCAACCACCACGGCATTTTTGGCTAGCTTCGCAACCTGGTTTGTATGGGTTAGCTGGTTGCATCTTGCAACCTGGTGGGGATCCAGGAGGACAACCTTTGGGTTCATCTGTTCGCATAGCTGGATTGCCTATGGCTTTTGCTTCCGTTGTGCTCATGACTATAGATATCATAATCATAAGGGCAAATGATTGTATAATTGTTTTCTTGGATATAACCATTTTTTTCTTAGATATATTTATATTATTTTTTTTACTTTTGTTTCCAATGAACATTCACGCTGTTATATAGTGTGGATTTGTTGCTAAATATAGAATGTTTCTGTGGATTTAGCATATGTTTTGTGGAGTTTGCGCATTTTTTGGTGAACCATACTTATTAATTTTCTGTAAAAATAGAAAAAAATGATGGAATAATAACTTATTGCATTGCTCGTCTCTAGGCACATATCTTGCTTTCACAAACAATCATTGTTCTTCTTAATTAGCGAGTATGTCTGATGTGCAATAACTAATGGATCAAAACCGCAAGAATAGATAGATACTGATGAACTTATGCACCTATTTTTCTATATTTGCGTATCGTGTGTCGGTATGCATGTGTGTGTACGTATGTCAATTAAAAAAAAAAGGTATGTGTATACATAAATAGAGTAAAAGTGACGTATCAAGCGGTGATTGAAATGTATTATTAGCTTCTCATATTTGTATGTATGTGTATACTAAGCCACTTTATTACCTTATCATATTTGTAACCCATTGTATTGTTAGTTTGTTTGATAACATAGGATTAGGAATAAATGTATAGGTATTTGGTCATGTTAACCGGCCATCTAAAAAAAATATGTGCTCGATTTAACAAAATAAGAATTAGTGTTTGAGGGGACTGGAGAATATGGTTCGTATTAGATATGATCGATCAAATCTATCTAATTATATATATGCGTGGAAATTTAGTTTAGTTTAAAAAAAAAAAATTAAGGTTGGATTTTCTAGCTAACCGGCAAAATTAAGGTGGTAGCAACATAAACTACGCAAAGTTAGGTCGACATGCAACGTAGTTGGAAATATATGATGTATAATAATTGTATATTTGTAGTAACACTTATACCATGTGTACATATATATTATACTCCTTTAATTTTAATATATTCGTTTACCCAAATAATAAAAGGGTAAAGAAACTTGCTTTGTCAGGATATAAAAAACTTAGGAACATAATTAAGCTAATACTTTATGATAAACCAAAAAAGTTATTTAATACAAAGTAATATTATATATGTTGATATGATGTCGTAGGGTATATATACCAAATGAATATATCCTTAAGGTTATCAACTGGGACTATACATATTCTTGTCGAGTTCAAACAGGTATAGTGGTGTTTTCAACCTAAACCGATATTTTGGAGAGGAAATATATTGGCCTGAACCTGATCCCATACAGCTTGAATACACATCAGGAATGCATTTTCATGACTTTAATATTAAAAAAAAAAATTCGAATACCTAATATAATATTCCAATCGACATAGCCACAGATCCATCATTTCCGTAACCATCTATTTCCTTTAATCACCACACCAGTCTTATGCTAAACTCATGAATTCTCGTAAATTTATAAATAAATATATATATATATATATATATATATATATAAAACTATGTTTTAGAAATTTTTATTTAATATTACAATAGTCTGTTAGAACTGCGTCATGTGATCTTCAAGTTTACATTGTTTTTTGATAAATCAAGTTTACATTGTTTAACATATCTAAAGCTCATGTGGCTTCTCATTACCTAAAGTTACAACACTTTTTACGCATATATATAAGCCTTATGATTCACAAAAGCATTACATTAAGATAAGGCCTTCAATGCGAAACAAACTTACTTACTCTATAACTTTAGTAGATAATTAGATGCTTTAAGAGTCCTTCATGGGTACCGAATTCTCCAATCATCCTTCGATGCTTCTTTAAAACATATTTGGTTTTGCTTTATAATTTAGAATCGAAATGAACCAAAATTTGACCAAGTGTACTTTTTAGGTATAGGTTTAGATGAAACCTAAAAACGAGAAATGTACTTTTGCATCAGATAAACAGAACGATGTTTACAATATGATCTTTAGCATCAGAACAGAATAGTCAATAATGATTTTTGTCTAAAAAATCACGAAAAAAAGGAAAATATAAAACAAGAAATTTCGACAGAAATATAACAAGTGCAAACATGAATCCCACGATCCAATGAGATGAAGCAAAACAAGTAATATATAGTTGAACTTGTTGAAACAATTCCATCGTAACTTCTTAAAAAAAATCCTTGTTGATAGAATATGCAGTTTCATCATAACTTTGCATTTCAAATAGTAACGATCCACTAGTTATCGAGTAAGATTCAAGCTATAAGTTGACTATAATCATTAGAAAAACCATATATATTGATGGCCCTCGTCAAAATCAGGAGTTTCATGTACATGTTTTCTCCCTATATGGTGGTGATTGAACATAGTTCTTCCACTCATTTTTTTTATACGGGTCTAAGGTCTTTCGCACAAATCGAACATGATTCAAGAAAATGGCTAGTAAGTTCGATAACCAACACCTATTATATGATAATACTACATTCTAGAACTAGAACAAAATAGCTAGCTAAAGTTATCTGAATCTTGAACTTAATTTTTAAAAACACAAACTTTTATACTAATTAGGTGGGTTACATGTACCAATGAATCAAGAAATGTGAAATAATCAAAATAAAAAAAATAGGTATGGAGGAGGAGTGTCACGTCCACGTTCAGGTTCACGTCTTTTATACAAAACAAAATGGTCTTATCTCACTTTCCTTTCTATTCCCGTATTTGCCGCTTTCTTCTTCTCGTCTCCATCTTCTTCATCATCTCTCTATCTCTGTCCCCAAAGTCGCTCTTTCTTACGCAAAAGCGAACGCAGATCTTAATGCAGCTACTTTGATTTCGATTTCTGGGTTACATAACTTTTTGGTGATTGGATTTGCTCTTTTTGGTTTGATCAGCATCTGGGTTTTTTGCAAAGGTACAATTTTTCTTACACTCTCGCTTGTGATTGGATTGGATTTGATTGAATCTGCCGATTCCCTGATCTCGAGCTTTGAGATGGTGAGATCTCAAAGCTCGAGATTTTGTTTTTTTTTCATTGTAGTGGTTTAATCGTTGGACTCGTTAGTGTTGTTAGATGTTCATCGTGCTCTTCTCTTGTATCAAAGTTTGTGGAGAATTTGATTAGAGCTACAGTGTGAAGTGGGTTTGAGTTGGATTGTTCTGGATTATGATAAAGTCTTGTACTTGATACCATATCTTACCATAGTCGCCAGATTCTTTCTAGGATCTAGTACGATTTTAGATTTTTTATGCTTGCTTCAATACTCTCTCCTTAGATTTTACGCTTTATTGTCTATTGATCTGGTTTCTCTGATCAGGGATTCAGCTTTTAGCTCCTTTTGTTCAGTTATGTTAGTACTTTCTCTGATTCGGTCCTAGAAGACAAGATCTATTTGATTGATTTCTTATCGGAGATATTGTTTAGCAGATTAGGTACTTGATCATTTATCTTTCTTTGATCTGTGTATTCGAATATCTCATTAGGATAAATCTAACTTGCGGCATCTCCTATTGATCCTGATAGCTTGTTATTTCAAGTTTTTGTAACAGATTTTGTGTTTATGCAGCATTCATATTACTTCCACTGATTCAAACATGTGGAAGTTTAAACCGTTTGCTCAGAAAGAACCTGCGGGTCTCGAAGGTCGATATCTTGAAATAGGAAATCTAAAAGTTCAGGTTAGAAACGTCATTGCGGAAGGAGGTTTCTCCAGCGTTTACTTAGCTCAGGATGCAAATCACGCGTCAAAGCAATACGCTTTGAAGCACATCATATGCAATGATGAGGAGTCCCTTGAACTTGTAATGAAAGAGATCTCGGTTCTGAAATCTCTCAAGGGACATCCTAATGTCGTCACACTCTTTGCTCATGGCATCTTGGATATGGGGAGAAATAAAAAAGAGGCTCTTTTGGCTATGGAATTATGCGGTAAATCTCTTGTGGATGTGCTTGAGAACAGAGGGGCGGGTTATTTTGAAGAGAAACAAGCCCTTACAATTTTCAGAGATGTGTGTAACGCTGTCTTTGCAATGCATTGTCAGTCCCCGCGCATAGCTCACAGGTATACATGTTGAATTATTTGGTTTCTTTCAGTTTCACATTGGCAAGCTATATAAATTGATATTATGTTGGTGTTGTCAATGGTGACAGAGACTTGAAGGCTGAGAATCTTCTATTGTGCTCAGATGGGCAGTGGAAGCTATGCGATTTCGGAAGTGTTTCGACAAATCACAAGATTTTTGAAAGAGCAGAAGAGATGGGCATTGAAGAAGATAATATAAGAAAATACACAACACCAGCATATAGGGCTCCTGAGGTTTGACTGGTGCTCCTATGCAGATTATAAGAGTTTCAAAAGTGATAATATGATGTTTGATTCATGTCTTTATTGGCAATAGATGTGGGATCTCTTTCGAAGGGAGATGATAAGCGAGAAGGTCGATATATGGGTATGTCATGTGAAACACTTCTTCGATTTCTATCCACATTGTTAATCAATTAGGTCGATACTGAAGTTTTGATTTTCTCTTAATTTTTAGGCTCTTGGATGTCTCTTGTTTCGGATTTGCTATTTTAAAAGCGCATTTGATGGAGAATCAAAGCTGCAGATTTTAAATGGGAACTATCGTATTCCAGAATCCCCTAAATACAGTGTATTTGTTACGGATCTCATCAAAGATATGCTTCAAGCTTCACCTGATGAACGACCAGATATTACACAGGTAACAAGTTACTATTTCTCGTTGCTCCTTTACGGTTGATGAAACTTGCGCTGTCTCTAACAAGATGTCCATCTACAGATTTGGTTTCGTGTCAACGAGCAGCTTCCTTCTAATTTACAGAAGTCATTACCTGATCGACCACCTGAAATGCAATCTGCTGGAGTCCATGATGGTATAGTGTAGAAAACCAAGTTTGGATAGCTTCTGGAAGAAAGATGTGATTTCTCTTGATCCTTGTGAAATTTTGACAGGTGTATCAAAATCAGCAAATAAATCTTCTTCAGGACCTCGCAGAAGTCCGCCACCGCCACCACCGTCGTCTGGAGAATCAGATAGTGGAGGACCGCTTGGTGCCTTTTGGGCGACTCAGCACGCTAAAACCTCTGTCGTATTAGAAGAAAACAAAAGCATGCCTAAATTTGATGAACCAAACAGCCACAACAGTAACACATCTAAATCTGAAAGAGTTCGTGTGGATAGTCATCATCCCAAAAAGCCTAGTCCTGTGAGAGGAGAGGCTCGTGGTATGCAAAGAAATAAAGATCTTGAATCTACGGTTTCTCAGAAGGATACAAGTCCTGCTGCAACCAATAACAGGACAAGAGTGTCCAAAGATGATGCCTTTAACTCGTTTGTTGCTGACTTTGATACCGCGAAGCTTGATAATGGTAATAAACCCGGAAAAGAAGAGGCGTTGGTAGCTGAGATAGAGAGGTTAAAAGATGAGTTGAAGCAAACAAATCTAGAGAAGGCTGAGATAACAGCTAAGTTTGAAAAGCTTTCTGCTATCTGCAGATCGCAGAGGCAAGAGTTGCAGGATCTCAAACAAACACTTGCCTCCAAAAGTGCTTCACCATCACCGAGCAGAGACTCATCACAAAATCAACCCTCTCCAGGGATGCATTCTATTTCATCAACTCCACCGGTATTATCTTGGTTCTTGTTCATCTAAGCTTAGACACTCATAGACGAGTTTGTATCAATATATATCTTATGATTCTTATGTTGTTGATGAAACAGAGAGAAAAGATGGAAGGAACTATGTGGGAACTTCAAAAGGACAGATCTGATTGGTCAACTGGAAGCTCGGATCCAAATTCATGGCAACCTTTTAGTGATGGTGTGAAACCCGTGTTGGAGTCTGCATCGAAGGGTAACAGTAATACGATGAATCAGTCTGTGAGAACTAGAAGTAAACCGGCTTCTGCTGCAGGTACCCAAGGTTTTGATGCATGGGGTTTTGAGACAGAATCTTTCAGAGCTGCTACACCATCTCCAGCAGCTACTTCCGCTTCTGCAACACAAAGATCTATGGGTTCAGGAAACAGTGCACAGAGATATGGGAGCTCAAAGATGAGAGATAACCAGAAAACAGCTCAACCTGCTGGATGGGCTGGCTTCTAAAAATCACTCGATGCTCATTACTATTTATTCCTCTTGCAAAAACAGCAGCTTCGTATTGCGACTAAAGAATCTTAAATATTTTTGTAGATGATGATCAAACCTGTGCTGCTAAATATACCCACCCATATATCTAGTATTTTTTTTATGTAGATCCTGAAACTTGATTACTCTACACATCTGGTTTTTGGGGTTATGTATAATGCATTTCTGAGCCGTGTACCTCATGCTTTTAAATTATGGAATGAATGAATATTTCTTCTTCTTAGTGTATGTCAAATTCCATTGTTACCATATCTGCGATTTCACTGGGGTTAGTCATATTTTAAACCAAACCTCACCAATCTTAAATTGTTCACAAATCACATTTTTTTTTTTATAAAAAATAAATTGGTAAAAACGTAAAAATCTTTGATTCTCTGTAAATTAATGGAGTGTCAATTATAAACATAGTGTACGTTGTAGATTATTAAATATCATACACCATTTTCAAATTGTACTAAAAGACATTGAACCGGACCCGACCAGACAAATAGAAAACCAAACCTAGTTAGAAAAACTTCAAGCTCGTGTCCTAGAAAACAAAACAAAGGAGAGTTAAAGCTACCAAATTTGAATCCTTGCCTTTAATTTGTTTTCCCCAAATTTCTCGGAAATCAAATTCCATCCGCCGGCTGGAGAATGTCCACTCCCGATCCCAATCCCAATCCCAATCCCAATTCCTCTCCCAACGTCTCTGTATCAGTACCGCGTCCTATCGTCACCGCATCTGAATCTCCGGTGACACAATCTAACACAGTCAAAACGCCGTCACCTCAACCTCAATCACCAGCTCCGTCGTACAGAGCCATAGCTCCGTTTCATCGTCATCCTCATCCTCATCCTCATCAAAATCACTACACTCATCCTTCACCGATCAGGCGTTCGAATTCCGTTGCTGGTTCGCCTCATCAGCCTCACCCACCACAACCAGACCCTTCCACTCTTATATACCCGTTTGGTTCTTCGGGTCGAGGGTTTCCGACCCGACCCGCTAGACAGAATTCGAATTCCGTCGCTGATCCTGTGGCTAGTCCAGGTGGGCATCCTCCTCGGCCGGTTTATGCGTACCACCATGGCCAATTTGGTTCGAATTTGGATCCTATGTTTCAGTTCATGAGAGCTGCGCATCCTCAGAATCAACAATCTCCTCAACTTGGGCCTGGTCATATGAAGGGAGTTCCTCATTTCTTGCAACCTCGGGTTAGTCAACTTCGATTCTTTTCGTTTATTCTTTGTCGTATTGTTTTGCTTTGTATGTCTCATATGTTAAAAGCTTTTAGCTTGTGGTGGTTAGTGAAAGGTTTTATTATGTTAAAGCTGATTTGATTTAGTGATTGTAGTTGATGAACCTGTGTCTCTAATGATCTAGGAAAGGTTGAAACTTCTGTTGGATTTTAAAAAGTGTTTGACAATGTTTATGTTCTTTGTGTGAGGTTACATTTTGTAAATTTTGGATTTTTGATTGTTAGGCTACTCCTTCTCCAACTTCAATTCTAGACAATGTTGGGCATAAAAAGGCCAGGTACTTTCTTCTTTTCCATTATGCTTTGTTAAATTTGAATCTACGATATAAACTTAATGATTTTGTTGCTCTTCTGTGGTGTTTAGAAGCCGGGATGATGCTCTGGTCCTTGTTAGAAAAAGAAAGGTAAAGTTTATACTTATCTTTCGGTTTTGCGTTATGGTTCGAAAATGCTTACCTTTTATATGTGTGTTCAGGTTAGAATAACAGAGGGGGCTTCACTGTATTCACTGTGTAGATCTTGGTTGAGAAATGGTGCTCATGAGGGAATTCAGGTTCGCATCAATTACTACTTTTGCTCTGGAGCATTCGGATTTTGATATACCTTTGGAAGTTTAATGATTTTGTTTACAGCCGCAGCGAAGTGATACACTGACATGTTTGCCAAAGCCTTTGCCTGTGGATATGACTGAGACAAGTTTGCCAAAAGATTCAGTTGAAGAACCAAATCCCGAAGAAGACAAAGAGGTTTTCTTGTCTCTCTGAGTTCTTTTAAAATGCTAATGGTGAAGGGTAATGCTAAGTTTGATTTACTTCAACTCTTTGATAAACCTCAGGACGAGGAATCTGTGAAAGAGTTGTCAACATCTGATCTTTTGAAAAGACATGTAGACAGAGCTAAGAAGGTCCGCTCTCGGTGAGTCCTACAGCATATCATCGAAAACAAAGTGATTTTTCTCAGTGATTGAAGATTGAATATTTTCTTATAAACAAAAATTGTGGGGTTTGTTTTGTTTTTCAGATTGAGAGAAGACAGGTTAAAGAGAATCGCAAGGTACAAGGCAAGGTTGGCTCTTCTTCTGCCACCATTTGGAGAGCAATGCAGGAACGAGTAAGGATATAAAGTTAGGGACATCTGTGTGAATATTCTTGCAATTGATTTAGAGATGATATAAGGGGGAAAGGGTACCTTAGAGCCAGAGGTGTGTGTGTGTAATGTAAGAAAGTTTTTTCTCTGAATTCTCGTCACAGTAGTAGATGATTCTAAACTGATCAACACTCTCATAACTTTCTGAGATGGTTAACTTATAGTGCTGTCATATGTTTTTCTTGGCTAAGTGTTCTTTCTTACTCAAAATTTTAATCATATATATTAGATTGTTTTTTCACCACTATAGTAGTAGTTTCTTATGACATGAGCATCGTGGTTATGGTCGGTTGACTATGTATTGAGCGCTGGATCGATCACCTTGTGCCATGTGGTCGGACGATCATAATTTGAGAAACTGGTCAACCATCCTTAAAAGCACAAGCACATTTATTATTGTAGGAGCCATTTTGAATCGTCAACTGGTCAACCATCCTTAAAAGCACAAGCACATTTATTATTGTAGGAGCCATTTTGAATCGTCAAATGAATTTTGCTAAACTTCCAACTCCTAAATGATATGAAATGATACTAAAAGTCTAAAACTATATGATAAAAAAAAAAACAATACAACCTAATCTAAGAGTTCGTATAATGAAAATCAAATGCAAACGAAAGCAAATAATGAAAAAACATTAAAAAAAACGTAACAAATCAACAAATGACTAAAACCAGTCAATTACAATGTTGAACAATAAAACATTTTAATTGTGTTAAGAGGTATCAAAAACAATTGTAAGTAAACTTGGTGGACCAATAGCGTGAGTTGCAGAGTCAGCGCAACTAATGCATTTTTTTTAAAACACATTGTTGGTTTATCATGAATTTGAAGGTTAGTGGTTCTTTACGCATTCACAAGTGTCTTGAATAATGTTGATATTCTTTTGGTATTTGTTACTTTAAATTCTCGGTTGTGATATAAGTTAATTTGCATCAATAAAAAGTGTTTAAAAGTTATAAAGGCATTGATTCTTACTATCGTATTTAAATACATGTACATAAACGTTGCGTATTAATGTTTGGATTGGCGTCATTATATTAAAACTTGTTTATGTGTTTAATGTTAACATTTGCTTCGTGATTCTTGAGGCTCTTTATATTATTCTTTTTCGTATTGAAAGCGCTAAAGATTTATTTTCCTCTCCGCAACACATTGAAAAGCAAATTATATAATAATATAAGTTTTTTAGTCATTATTTGTAACATAAATTTTAGTCAGAAATGTTGACTTCAAACATACGTGCTTGACTCAACCTAAATTTTTAAATTGAAATTATCCAAAACCTTAAAAATCTTGAAAATATAAAAAGAGAAGGATGTGAAGAATTTTTCTCTTTGAGGGCAAAAGAAGAAGGAAACAAAAATGTGAAACCATATCAGTTTTAGATTTTATACACACACATGCAATGATTTTAAGCCTTGGACATTAACTCATCAACCAACTGAATTGTTACAATGTGACTGAAAACTTATTCAACCCTTGGTCTAATCAATTAGATGAGGAATACATGATGTATGAGGACTGGGGATGTTGAATTGTTTTCTGATCTAATACATAATTCTAGAGAAAAATAATTTCACTCTTATATCGTTTTCCATCTCTTAAAGCAATTGACCTCATCAAATTCAAAAGGTGTTGTATTCATAGAGAGAGTTGCACGTTAAAATATATTTAATGACATCTACAATAGTAAATTTAAATATATATACGTTCTTGTAAGGCATATTCTTGTAATATTCTACAAAGTGTTGTTTCCGTTTCTAGATTTCTCGCCAGTTCTCTCATATTCATAAGTTGTCTCCTCATGCATGCTTTGAAAGTAGCAAAGTAAACTGATTAGTACTTACGCATAAAAACAGAGCCAAGCTTATATTTTAGATTGATTCCTCACGTTTCAAAAGGGGGGATCTATGGTTCTTGGCCTCACACATACTTTTCCTTGAGTAAAACTCTTTCAAGAAAAGACAACCTTTGACAAATCGCTTATAAAAACAACATTCAATTTTGCATAGGTAACTGCACTCACTATCACATGCTTTTATGTTCACAATATCTCTCGACTATATAATTGATCAAGAATTGTTGCTGCAAGATTTTCTCTCAGGTGAGTGAACAACAGAGAAAAAGAAACAAAACATGACGAAGAAAGGGAAAGAAGTGTTGAACGCCTTGGACGCGGCCAAAACGCAGATGTACCATTTCACAGCCATTGTAATCGCAGGTATGGGGTTTTTCACTGATGCTTACGATCTTTTCAGCATCTCTCTCGTCACCAAGCTCCTCGGCCGCATATACTACCACGTTGACGGCTCCAAGAAGCCTGGAACGCTTCCTCCTAATGTTGCTGCTGCTGTTAATGGTGTGGCCTTCTGCGGAACCCTCGCTGGCCAGCTCTTCTTCGGTTGGCTCGGTGATAAGCTCGGCCGCAAGAAAGTTTACGGTAACCTTTGCTAATTCCTTGGCCTTAAGATATGTTTCCATTTTATTCCCGTAGTTGTATAAGAAAGTTTAGAACTTCAAAATTAGCATTTAGTTACAGTAACTAATCCTTTTCTTTTGGTTGGGAATTCAAAGGTATTACCTTGATGGTCATGGTACTATGTTCGCTCGGGTCTGGTCTATCATTCGGACACTCAGCTAACGGAGTAATGGCCACACTTTGTTTCTTCCGGTTCTGGCAAGGTTTCGGCATAGGCGGAGACTACCCTCTCTCAGCCACAATCATGTCCGAATACGCCAACAAGAAAACACGCGGCGCCTTCATAGCAGCCGTCTTCGCCATGCAAGGCTTTGGAATCTTAGCTGGAGGAATCGTATCTCTCATAGTCTCGAGTGCCTTCGACCATGCGTTCGACGCACCGACCTACGAGGTTGACCCTGTGAGGTCTACTGTTCCTCAAGCGGATTACGTGTGGCGGATCGTGCTCATGTTTGGAGCTATCCCAGCGTTACTCACTTACTATTGGCGGATGAAGATGCCGGAAACTGCTCGGTATACCGCTCTTGTTGCTCGGAATACCAAACAAGCCGCCTCCGATATGTCTAAGGTACCGTACGTCCCCAAACTAAATTTCATTTACTATTTTTAAGATTAAGTAAAAATGTTCTAGTTCATGTTTTAAATTATAGTGGCTTGTTATAAAATTGCTTTAACATATAGTTTTAAAATTTCATGGTGTTACAAAAAAATAAAAATCATAATCTCCAAATTAAATGTAAGTTATGTTATTTGCACAACAGGTGCTTCAAGTGGATCTAATTGCAGAAGAAGATCCATCAGCATCATCTTCATCAAACCCGACCTCCCCCTTCGGCTTATTCTCCTCCGAGTTCGCTCGCCGTCACGGCCTCCACCTCCTCGGCACAACGACGACATGGTTCCTTCTCGACATAGCTTATTACAGCAGCAACCTCTTCCAAAAAGACATCTACACGGCAATCGGATGGATCCCCGCCGCCGAAACGATGAACGCAATCCACGAAGTCTTCACCGTCTCAAAAGCTCAAACCCTAATCGCACTCTGCGGCACTGTCCCTGGGTACTGGTTCACAGTCGCGTTCATCGATACACTGGGTCGATTCTTCATCCAGCTGATGGGATTCATCTTCATGACGATCTTTATGTTCGCTTTGGCGATTCCTTATGATCACTGGAAGCACAGAGAGAATCGGATTGGTTTTTTGGTTATGTATTCGTTGACCATGTTTTTCGCCAATTTTGGACCTAATGCGACGACGTTTGTTGTTCCTGCTGAGATATTTCCGGCGAGGTTGAGGTCGACTTGTCATGGGATATCTGCGGCGGCTGGTAAGGCGGGTGCCATTGTTGGAGCTTTCGGGTTTCTTTACGCGGCGCAGAGTTCGGATTCGGAGAAGACTGATGCTGGTTATCCTCCTGGGATTGGAGTTAGGAACTCGTTGTTGATGCTTGGTTCTGTTAATTTCTTCGGGGTTGTTTTCACTTTTTTGGTTCCTGAATCTAAAGGGAAGTCTCTTGAAGAGATTTCGAGAGAAGATGAGGAACAGAGCGGCGGAGATGCGGCGGCTGAGATGACTACACCACATTCCGGTAGGACTGTCCCCGTTTGATTTTTATTTTATTTTAAAGTTTTTAATGAAACTTGCTATGAAATGACTCTGTAAATTTAGAATGTTAAACGTATGCTTAGTGATGAATGAAGATGAAACTTGTGTTGTTGGCTAATGTTATGTAGCTACTAGAGTCACAGTACATGTCAAGAAACCAAGTTCAAGAGACTTATTCGTAATGGACTCATGATCCTCTCATGTTTTCGGATACATTACATAAGTTTGTGCTTGTAACTAAATTCAAAGGTGTAATTACTAGTGTGAGCAACATAAATCCTCCTTTACACTGATGTGATTCCAATCCCACCAAGTTATAAGTTTGAAAATTTCACTTCAGATTTTCAGTTTTTTTTAAATATTTTCCAAAAACCACATTGATACCAATCTTGACATTTTGGGACTGCTTTCTCTCGGTACTATTGCTCTTTTGTGTCTTCGCTTCAAGTTTCTTCATGCTTAATGCTCTTGTTGTTGGTCATTCTGCTTGTCGCCCTGACCAGATCATAGCTCCTTTGCAATTCAAGAACGGGTTTGAATCCCCCAAGACCTCTCAAGAAACCAACAGTCAGGTAATATACCTAAAGGACTTGGGAGCCTCTCCTTTTTGGCGTACGTAAGTATGGCTCATAACCAACTCACAGGTGTGAAATACCACAAAGAACTCAAATCACTGGACATGTGTGGTTTCAGAGTTCCTTAACGAAAGAGAGTGCATTGTACATTTGTAGAGTCTCTTTTGAGGTTACTTGGGTTACAAACAAATAAAAACTTCCTTAATTGTCTTTTCTTTTTTATTTTTCTACATTTAACAAAATCATGAAGCAAAGAAAAAACAGAGACAATAGCTAATCTCAATTCCGTGAGTCAAAAACCATAACACAGTCAGAAGCTACCTGAGCCTGTTAAGAAGTGAATGTCGCTCAGGCCATCTAAGGTCAAAACAATACACTTCATAAAGGCACCTCGGCTGTGCATTCTAGCTTTTCTAGTATGATCTTCCAAATCCTCAGTTTTAAACTTGTGATATGTGTACCTTCAGGTAATTACTAATTTCGCTACCACTTTTAACCGAATAAGGTCCAAACTTGATAAAGGGCCAAATCCAGAATTTTCCCTTTGTTAGGGACTGTGGATATCACTCGCTAGAACCTGGAACCTTTCAATTTGCTAATTAAGGACTTTCCCTTTTTGTGTTGCTTAGGCATCAAGTTCTTTTCCTTTTTTACTTCTGACTTCTCTTCTTACACAATCGACTTTGTGTGAAGGTAATCTGATGATAATGTTGGGAACAAAGGGTAAAGATCTGCATTAATGACCGTAATTTAATGTTGTGCTCATAAATTAATATTTATTTTGTTGCTTGTTTATTTTCTTACATCTTTAGTTCGAGTTTTGAGTTTATGTCAGAAAAACTATGGAATCAGTCTCTCAAGTATTTGACTTACTTATCTTTAAAATAAAAACTGAAAACAAATATATCCATATCAAACTCCAATTTCATGAATTCGAATAAACAACAATCCACATGAAAATCACAAAACAAGGAAAAATTATGAATTTAAGTGGAGACTACACTACTCTTATTACCTAAAGAATAAACAAAAACCAAAGTTGTCGGCTATTTCCATCCCTTGTCTTTTTAATGATACTATCCTCAATAAGTTTATGGACGTCTCGATGTTGTTGATCTCTTAATGTTCTCCCTCCAACAGTGAAGAAGTGCAGATGCAGAGTTACAAATCTTTCTATCCTTGTGCTTTGTTAGACGCTCAAGCCTCTCCATGATCCGTCCTGTTTCAGTAGCTGTTGAGCTGATGGGGAAATTCATGAGCAAAGAGAGAGTGTCTACGCAGATTGATGTCTCTGCTTTAGCCGCGAGAATTCCCTTTGCGTTGGCCACGTCAGCTGATTTCTTGGCTATTTCGAACAGTTCCAACATCTCCGTTGAGTTCTTCTTCAAGGCTGGACAGTTGTTAGGGGTTTCAGACACCTTAAGAGAAGGTTTCTTCTTCTTCATCTGGAGAGTTGTTCTTGATGTTGGTAAAACAGACTTGCAAACGCCAGACTTGTTCAGATTTTGCTTAGTCTCCCCTGTTTCACGAGCCTCGAATCTAGGGTTTTTAGGAAGTTCCATTGGTAGAGACCTCGCTGCAGAAGACTTGGAACCATCAATTTTTTTAGTCTCTCCTGTCTCATGAACCCTAGATCTCTCATCTTCTTTCTCCTGCTGCCTCAAAAACTTAGTCTTTTTCTTAGCCTCTGCTGCAATATCATGAGATACTTGAACACAATCAACTCTCTTCCTTTTCAGGGGAAGGGGAGCTTTGTTGCGAGTAGAAGAGTCGCTTCCGCTGAAATAAAGAGTCTTCATCCAAGAGTTGAACAATACGTTAGCTTCCATTCGTATCTTAGGGTTTTCGTGATCTCTTAGACTCTCCAAAGGAAGTATCACTTCGGAATGGCCAAGATCCTTGACCGAGAGGTTCAAGCTCTTCAAGTATCGTAGAATACCAAAGCAACGTTGTTCATCAGAAACATTAGCAGCTCTAATCGCAGAATATGCCAAACGGTGAAGATCAGATGATCCCTCCGTAGCAACCGCAACCTTCATCATCGTCTTCTTCTTAAGTTGTTCTTCTGTCGAGCGTTCCAACGTTTAGCTTAGGTTAAAACTCACACAACTTTGGATATCAGATTGTTGATAGATAGAGAGAGGCTTTGGTTGTGTTATCTGATGTTATTATATATAGACTGTGTAGAGAGTAGAGACTTTAGGAAAAGGAAATCAGAGGAAGTTTCCTTTTATCCCAAGGAATTTCCCGAAACAAAGTCTAAGTAAACTAGGAGAATTGTTGTTGAGACAATATTGCCTTTTTTTTTTTTGGTGTGTCTTGAGGGTAAATACGTCAGATCAAGTAATTTAATTTCAGATGAACCCATTCCATAAAAACATAAGCAAACGTAGATAAATCCACTTATCTATTATTCGATATCTTTGTTCAATTTTACCTACCTCTGGGGTTTTATTGGGTTACGTTGAACTTTTATAAAAGTTTGGGGTTGTTTTAGCATTTAATAGAAGTATAAGGGTATCGTACGAAAAAAGGATTACAAGCTTGGGGAAGTTCGTCTTCTTCTTCCTTAAAAGAGGAAATTTTTTGTGGACTTTGATGAGCTTTACTTCAATGGCTGAGTCAATTCGAATTTTTTCGCTTCAATGGCGGATACTGTCACCGATGATCGCTTTACTTTTGTTTTCTCCGATTGTCTCGGGAAATTTCTTTGAGCCGTTCAATGTCAGCTACGATCACCGGGCTCTAATCATCGCCGGAAAGAGGCGCATGCTCTTCTCCGCTGGAATTCACTACCCTCGAGCCACTCCTGAAGTAACTATCTTTTTCATTGAACTTTCTAATTTCAGTAGCTCGACAATTTCTGATGGTTTTGTTGAAATGCTAAATTAGAAGAATTGGGACTGTTAATTGTTTTTTGTTCCAGATGTGGTCTGATCTCATCGCAAAGAGCAAAGAAGGTGGAGCTGATGTGATTCAAACTTATGTGTTCTGGAGCGGGCATGAGCCTGTAAAGGGTCAGGTTAGCTAAATTTTCCTATGTGTATATTGTCTTGATTTTTGTTACTAGCTCTCTGAGTAGTTAAAAACTGGAGAATTTGATGTTTCTATGGGTTGTTCAGTATAACTTTGAAGGAAGATACGACCTTGTCAAATTTGTGAAGCTTATTGGATCAAGTGGTCTTTATCTCCATCTACGCATAGGTCCTTACGTTTGTGCTGAGTGGAACTTTGGGTAATTTCTTCTTCACAACCATTGGTGTGTCTTGATTTTCTTCGTTATCCAGCTTTCTCTTTATTCTTTTTTGGTTCAATTCTTGTTAGGGGGTTCCCAGTGTGGCTGCGTGATATTCCTGGCATAGAGTTTCGAACAGATAATGAGCCTTTTAAGGTGCATTTAATTTGAATGCTCATTTCACTGTTTCTTTGTTATTTACTTTTTAAGTTCTGTTTTAGCTTTCTTATCGTCGAACAGCCATTCATATCTTTCTGTTTGCTATTTCCAGAAGGAGATGCAGAGGTTTGTTACGAAGATTGTGGATTTGATGCGAGAAGCAAAGCTTTTCTGTTGGCAAGGCGGTCCTGTAATCATGCTGCAGGTCATATGAGAATTTTTTATTTTCTCAACTTTATTTATCAAGCAAGTGAGCTTTCTTTCTTTCTATACTCTTGCTATAAAGGTGATGATTTTGCTTATGTTGATGACAGTCCCTTGCATTCTTTGTTTGCCGACATAACTTGTTTCAGACTGAGCAGCCTTCTTAATTTAATGTTGTAAAATTACTGCAACTTGTCGAATGAGCATAGCATGGACTAAAATACTTTTCTTACATAGATTGAGAATGAATACGGGGATGTTGAAAAATCATACGGGCAGAAGGGAAAGGATTACGTCAAATGGGCAGCTAGCATGGCTCTAGGGCTCGGTGCTGGAGTTCCCTGGGTTATGTGCAAGCAAACAGATGCTCCAGAGAATATTGTAATATTTCTAACTTGATTTTTGTGTGCATTAAGATGTCTCTGCTTTTTTTTTGTAGCTGATCCTGTTTACCTGGCTGATGATTTTCATAGAGATTTTCTTTGAGTTCGTAAAATAAGAATGAGACACCCAGTATTTACAGACATCCAGTCATTGATAACGACTTCTAACCATTTTTCCCCATTGGTTTCATGGAATTATAAAAGACCTGCTGATAACGACATCTTTCAATTTATAATGAAAAAATTCCTTGTTCTTGAAAACCATCCTTTGAGGTCTGTTAATTCCTTTTATCTCAGATCGATGCATGCAATGGATACTATTGTGATGGCTTTAAACCAAATTCGCCAAAAAAGCCAGTACTTTGGACAGAGGATTGGGATGGATGGTATATTTTTTTCTCATGCAGTCCTCTGACAAAGCTTTGCTCTTATCAAAGAAGTGTTTTCTTGAAGTTTTTGTTTCAAAGGCAATTGGCCGTAATTGTTATGTTGATTGGTATTTGGATTAAATGAGTATGTTTGGTTGACTTTATGAAGGTACACGAGGTGGGGTGGAAGCTTACCTCACAGACCTGCTGAAGATCTTGCATTTGCAGTTGCAAGATTTTATCAGCGTGGAGGAAGTTTTCAAAATTATTACATGGTAAAAATAGCACACTAGATATTTATATTTCTCTTTTCCATTTACTCCTGCCCAAATTTATTTGCATCATCATCTTTGCTGTCGATTACAAATGATGTTCAGAAACAACCGTGTTTCGGTTCATAGGTTTCTTCCTTGAGTTGAGAAAATAGGTTTTAGTTAGCCATAGTATTTACTTTTCAGTTTACATCCAACTTACGTAAATTGTTTTTGCCCAACTTGATTATAGATTGCCTATGATGTCAATGCTTTCAATCTGTTTGAATTGCATTATTGATGAGTCTATTTTATGGTTGCAGTATTTTGGTGGAACAAACTTTGGTCGAACTTCTGGTGGCCCTTTCTACATTACAAGCTATGATTATGATGCTCCTCTTGATGAATATGGTGGGTGCAAGCGAAGGGTAGCAGGATAACAGATTGCTAGGAAAACAGCTTATTTTTCTAATGAATTTATGGTTTTCATATACTAAGGTCTGAGGAGTGAACCAAAATGGGGGCATCTAAAAGATCTTCATGCTGCCATAAAACTTTGTGAACCTGCCCTTGTTGCGGCAGATGCACCTCAATATAGAAAATTGGGATCGAATCAGGAGGTACTCTACTCTTAAATGCTTTCATATAGTGTCTAATTTGTAATAGACCAGGCTGTTAGATAGATTTTGATCCGTTTTAATTCTTACTCTACTTTACCTGTCAAAATTTTCACTTAATTCTGATATAAGAAAGGTCTTTTTGCTATTTAGTGGGTGTTACAGAAGGCACGTCTAGTTTAAATGCACGTATGAATATGACTTATGTACTGCACAAAATACTGGGCTGTTATATGATTACCTTTTTGAATGCATATATAAATATGAGGTATTATATATGCTGAATATTACAGATTCTGACTTGTTCATAATGCAAAGTCCAGGCACACATTTATCATGGAGATGGTGAGACTGGAAGAAAGGTGTGCGCTGCATTTCTCGCAAACATTGATGAGCATAAATCCGCACATGTGAAGTTTAATGGCCAGTCATATACTTTACCACCTTGGTCAGTGAGTATATTGCCAGACTGTCGACAAGTGGCCTTCAACACTGCCAAGGTTTGATTTCCTTTCCATTTCCACTGCTATTGTAAATTATTTTGACTGGTAATTGCTTGCGCAATTCCGAATAAGGTTTTTGTGGGCAGTTTATCTTTCTTAAATTTAGTCCAATGGTCTGGCAATTCCTTTATCTCATTCAGTGAATGCTTCTTTCTCACTGAACTCTTCGAAAGCGGTCACTGTGATTGAACTAGTTCTGTTTCTATTGTTTCATTTTTGAAACTACCCCAGTCTTTTTTCAACATGAATATAATAATAACTATGGAAGGAAGGTGACACCCCTCAAATATCTTCTGCTGTGAACTTGGCAATTCGCTTTTTTAGTTGCCACCCAAGATGATTCTTAGATTCTCGTTTTTGTCTGTTCTTGATCAGGTAGGAGCACAAACTTCTGTTAAAATGGTTGAGCCTGCAAGGTCATCTTTAGGTAGTATGTCTATACTGCAAAAAGTCGTGAGGCAGGAAAAAGTTTCTTATATCTCAAAATCATGGATGGCTCTGAAAGAACCTATTGGCATATGGGGTGAAAACAATTTCACTTTCCAAGGATTGTTGGAGCATTTGAATGTTACAAAAGACCGTTCTGATTACCTGTGGCATAAGACAAGGTAGTTATGCGGTGTTACCTCACTGATCTAACTAACAAAAAGCATTTAAGGGAAAGAATTCCTTATATGTAGATATTGCAGATGTTTTTAAATAAAACTCTGACTGAACTATCTTTAAATGTTTTGTTTTATGTATTCTCTTACCAGTTCAGTATTCTAGAGGAATTTAGTACTGTAAAATCTGTTGACATTTAATAGTTTTTTGGCTTTTATCTATAATAGTTTTCCTTCTTTCTCAACCAATTGTAGAATAATCGTAACTGAGGATGATATCTCGTTCTGGAGGAAAAATGGAGCTAACCCAACAGTGTCAGTTGATAGCATGAGAGATGTGTTGCGTGTGTTTGTGAACAAACAACTCTCAGGTAATATACTACATTCCCTCCTGCTCTTTATGCATGGTAGTAATTGTACACATGCCCTGGTCCTGTATTACGTCTGTACATGGTTGTGTCTGCTGTCTCTTGCGGTTCGATATGTATATATTCACACAAGATTGTCACATTGCATCATGAAGTGCAAAGTCTTAGAAATTGTTTTCTCTCATCTTTCGCTAACTTTTCCTCCTGCTGAATGGAAGTAAAGGCAGTGTTGTTGGTCACTGGGTGAAGGCAGTGCAGCCTGTAAGTTTTGTGCAGGGAAACAATGATTTACTTCTGCTGACCCAAACAGTTGGGTTGCAGGTAAAAGTCTACTACAATAATGCCTATGTTCCCTTTTTCTCTTACACCTAATTGTGATCATTTTGGACGTCATGGCACAGAATTATGGTGCTTTCTTGGAGAAGGATGGAGCTGGTTTTAGAGGGAAAGTGAAGCTTACTGGATTCAAGAATGGAGATGTGGACCTTTCAAAATCGTCATGGACCTATCAGGTGTAGTTAAGGTGTATGGTTTTCTCAGAGTCCTAAAAAAGTTGAACCCTGTGGACTTTTATTTTTTCATTCTCACTTTATCTGAAATCTGAAGATCATTGTGGAAGCATTTGAATGTTTGGGGTTTTTTGCAGGTGGGATTGAAGGGCGAGGCTGAGAAAATATATACTATTGAACACAATGAAAAAGCTGCATGGAGCACCTTGGAGGCCGACGTTTCACCTTCGATATTTATGTGGTACAAGGTAAATCTGTGAAACATGTTGGAATTTTATTTTCTCATTTCTTCCAAAACAGTTTTTTTTTTTCATTAGTCAAGAGATCATTGTTCCTTTTTCTTTCTTGTTGAATTAGACATACTTCGACACCCCTGATGGAACAGATCCTGTTGTTCTTGATCTGGAAAGTATGGGAAAGGGACAAGCTTGGGTCAATGGACACCATATTGGAAGGTATTGGAATATCAGTTCCCAAAAGGATGGGTGTGAAAGAGGATGTGATTATCGGGGAGCCTACAATTCAGATAAGTGCACAACAAATTGTGGAAAGCCTACACAAACCAGGTAATATGCATGTACTAACTCTGCAATGACTAATAAATCCCATGGTACTGACCTAATATCACTGTATCGAACAGATACCACGTACCACGTTCGTGGTTAAAGCCGTCAAGTAATTTACTCGTGCTCTTTGAAGAAACCGGGGGTAACCCATTTAAGATATCGGTTAAGACAGTTACTGCTGGGATTCTGTGCGGTCAAGTCTCAGAATTGCATTATCCACCTCTGCGGAAATGGTCCACACCAGATTACATGAACGGAACAATGTTGATAAACAGTGTGGCACCAGAAGTGCATCTGCATTGTGAAGATGGCCATGTCATATCATCCATAGAATTTGCTAGCTATGGGACTCCAAGAGGTAGCTGCGACAAGTTTTCTATCGGGAAATGTCATGCATCCAACTCGTTATCAATCGTCTCTGAGGTAAACTTATATTAATTCAAAGTGTCTTTAAGCATACTTCTGCCTGCAACATCAGCAACGATTCAAACATATGGAGGAATCTAAAAACTGGCGACATGAAATCTAAACCCAGTTTGATAACATGTGAAGACCCCAATTTCCTAAGCAAGCTAGTAGGAAGATTGCGGCTACAAATTTTTGACATATAGGTCTTATATTGGTTCATAGCAAACTGCATAATATGACTCTGTGAACTATCCAAAAAATCATTGTTCTCTTCTGCAGGCTTGTAAAGGACGCAACAGCTGCTTCATCGAAGTTTCAAATACTGCTTTTCGTAGTGACCCATGTAGTGGAATTTTAAAGACGTTAGCGGTTATGGCACAATGTTCCCCGACTCAAAATACAAGTGACCTCGGTTTTTAGACACTGAGAAGCAGCTCAGAACGATGAACAGCTAAAAAGATACAAGAGACCACAGTTGCTTAACTAGTAAGAAGAAGATGTCCCTTCACACGCTCTTTTCAGGGTCTGAACAATTGTGTTTGCTCTTATTCGTCGTTGTATCCAAACTTTACTCAGAACCAGTAAACTCGAAACCAACTCTTAAGATTTATCTGCTTGTATAGTTTTTTTTTTTTTTTTTTTTTTTTATCTGCTTGTATAGTTTGTTGTTTGAGAATGTACGAAATGTCGAAATCAGTCCAAGTTGATGTAATGATTTGGATCTCAGTGCTTTCAAATGCAAATATATATGTCTTAACTTTGCGTTACATATAAATTATCCCAATCTTTTATGATAAAACAAGATGCAGACGCTTGGGATTTATTGAGTTATGTATAGGACAAGTGTTAGATGTGTTTGTTTGTTACACTTTTCTAGATGTGTCTTATGAATAAAAGGAAAAAGAAAATAGATGACCAAACAGACAACGTTGAATGAAATGATTCATCCGATATAGATGATTTTCGAAAGTATTGTAAAAAGACTTCTTCACTTTACTAAATAAAGAATTTAGAAGAGGCATGAACGATACTTAGTATTGCAAATATGATTACATTACATCCTAACACTTGTCCTATACATAACTCAATGAATCCCAAGCGCCTGCATTTGTCTAATCATCAACATAGACGACTGATACATTTGCTTGCGGCTCACATCACCTTCCTTTCCTCCTTCCTCTTTGAAGAACTTCTCACTTCCATCCAAGATACTCACTACTTGGCTAATGCTAGGTCTTAGTTTTGGATCAGTTCTCGTGCAAACCAACCCTAACCGCAATACCCTAGCCACTTCTTGCCTCTCGTACCCATCATCTAAATGAATATCTGCAATCTCTTCCAATAGCTTTTTCCTGTTACTGACCACTTCGCGGATTCTCAACACCAAAAGAGCATCCTCTTTTTTTCTTTTGTAATCTACTGCCGGCTGACCCGTAACCATCTCTAGCACCACCATGCCGAAGCTGTATACATCTGCAGCGGTTGTCGCCTCGCCAGATTCCATGTACTCTGGTGCCATATAACCAAAAATCCCTTGCGCTGATCCTTTCTTTTTTGCAGCTTGGTGAGCCTGGTCGTTTCTTGATAAAAACTCGGCCAATGCAAATCCGCAGAGCCGCGGATTCATATCTCTGTCGAGAAAGATTGTTGAAGAAGTTATGTTTCGGTGAACAACTTGTTCATCCCATTCTTCATGGAGGTATCGTACAGCGCAAGCAAGCGATTTAATCACGTTGTACCTAATTTTCCATCGTAAACCAGAGTTTCCTGGTTTGTGGTTATGGAAAAGAAGATGGCTTAGCTTACGATTTGCGGAATAATCATATACAACAAGCATTTCTCCATGTTCAGTGCACCAGCCACGTAGCATAACAAGGTTACGATGTCGAAGCCTGCCTAGGTTAAGTAGCTCGGTGGAGAACCGAGTCACAAGCGCCGGACATTTAGTCATACCGAGACGTTTCACCACAATATGCTGATCCTGGTTCAGTAAACCGTAATAAGCCGTACCGAAATCAACCTCAGCAACGCGACGAGCGTCGGAGAAATTATCAGTGGCTAAAACGATGTCATTGTATGAGATCTCCCTTGGCGTGTCCAATACGAAAGCTTTAGAGGACATCACTCGCCGGCTGTTGTAATTAAAATACCGGTTCTCTCCTGCCTCCGCCGTCTGGTAAATGGAATCATCGAGGGCAGTAACGTAATTTGACGACGGTGTTGTTGACTCCGAAGACGCGTTGAAGCTAGTTGTTGAGGTGGTCGTCGTCGTTGTTCTGGTGGTCGTCGTGGTCCCCGAAGTTGAGGTTGATTTGAGAGAAGATAAAGGAATATAAAGAGGATGACTCTTGAACGAAGGTAACGCCGGTAAGCTACCGGAAAATTCGCCGGAAAGTGCTCCGATCACCCATTTCATATTGGGACGATGCGTTGGGTTGTTTAACGAACAGAGCAGAGCAAGATGAATCATCCTCTTCATGTCGGAGTGATCATAAGACCCTTTTGGTAACCGAGAATCTCCGGCGTCGAGTACTTTCCGGTTATCGGATAATCTCCGAACCCAGTCAAGCAAAATGATTTTGTCCTCCGAGAAGGAAAGATCAACGGCACGTCTACCGGAAACAATCTCTAGAACAACAACACCGAAGCTGAAAACATCGCTTTTAGCGGTGGCGACGGTTTTTTTCCGGAAACTCTCCGGCGGTAAGTAGCCGATCGTACCGCCGATCCGAGTGGAATCCGCGACTCGGAACTGGTGGTTACGGAAGGAAGAAACAGAGTCGTAACTCGAATCATGCTCTGTTTCATCAACCTTGTGTTCTAGCCACCGAGCTAACCCGAAGTCTCCGAGTTTAGCGTTGAACTCAGAGTCCAACATAACGTTGCTCGTCTTCACATCTCTGTGAATAATCTGAGTCTCTAACTGCTCGTGGAGGTAGTACAACGCGGCGGCGAGTCCCCTGACGATTTTACCCCTCCGGTCCCAATCCAACGGTTTAAAAGCAGAGTTCATCTCCGGCCGTCGGAAAAGCACACGATCTAAGCTCCGGTTAGGCATGTAATCGTAAACAAGAAGCAGCTCGTCTTCGTTCAGACACCAGCCTCTCAGTTTCACAAGATTCCGATGCCGGAGCTGAGCCACAGCAACAAGCTCCGCCGCGAACGTTTTCTCGAATTGCTCTCCTTTCTTCTCCGCCAAGCATTTAACAGCCACCGTGGTTCCGTCGCTCGGTAACACCGCTTTATAAACACGTCCGAAACCGCCGCTTCCGAGGATCAACTCGTCGCTGAACCCATTAGTTCCGATGTAAAGCTCGGAGTAACCAAAGATTCTTGGATTCTCGCAGCCGACTTTGCTGGAGAGCTGAACACCTTCCATGTCAGTGAAAGATTTATTAATCTCCATTGAACTCAAATCTTTACTCTCGTTGACACTACAAAGATTCAAACTCTTCACTAGTTTTGAGCTGTGTAACCGCCGGAATAAATCTCCGATCAAAGTCACGACTTGACGTCCACAGTCACGACTCCTCTTCTTCTCCTCATCTTCTTCTTTACTGGTCTCTTCGTCAACCATCGCCGGAGACTTAACCGGCGGTGGCTTTAACTCGCCTGATTCTGTCGGTAATACGAAACAGAGACGGTCCATAACCATGGGCGCCATGTGAGTGTGTGTAAATATCCAAAATGTGAATATGATCGAGTTTAAAGATAGATATGATAACGCTCTTTTATAACATTTGTTTGTTGTCAAATCTAATTTGAAATTATTTGACCGACCAAAATTGAATGATGGTATTTTGCCAGCAAGGATGTTGTATTTATAAGTGTAGTGTCTAGTCTTCTTTCTTTCTAGAAATATATTGTGTGTACAAAGTGTTTTTGTATTAACTCGTATTTGAAAATACTTTATTGGTTTTGAAAATTGGGATTGCATTAATTTCAACAAGATTAGGTTAAGCGTGGTTTGAATATGTAGCAGCAAAACCCTTTCGTCGGGTTTGGTCAGTTTTACGGTGATGTGTCATGGCCCATGATTTTTTCCATTTTTTGGTTATAATGTTATTATTATTATTTTTTAATTCTTAGCTCTAAATTGATTTTTCAACGGGATTCTTTTCTTTTAATAAAAAGAAATTAACTAGAAATTAGATATGGTACGAAAAATAAAACATTATATTTTTATAAGTACGTATGGAAAAAATGAGACCGAAGAAGACTTTCAAAGCGTGTCGTCGAGAAGAACATTTGACGCGGTTGAACTTTGTCTTGTTTCTTCTTCTTCTTAATAATAAATTCTAAACTCGAATTAGTTTATACTCTTACTTTTTTTTGTTCGAGGTCGTGAAAATCCATTTTGATTATAAACGTAGTACACGCACTACTTTTAATGTTGTCTAGCTACTAGGTTTGATTTGTTTTTTTTTCATCTGATGGGTTGAATTTTTATCTTTAAAAATATGAATTGTGTGTTATTTTACCGATTGATAAGAAGTAAAAGAGCACATTGGTCCAGCCTATATGATGATGGTGATACGAAGATTTTGACATGACAAACGTTTTAGTAGGAAAAAAATTGACAACAATTATAAACGTCATTCTTAGTTGTGTGTTTGTTTTATTGTATGAATCAAGCTAGCCAACAAAGATAATGAGCTTTTGTTTTAGTGGAGTACTACAACATTTAGATTACCTTTTAGGTCCGCCAATCAAAACATGTCACAACACCAACGATATTACCTAGTAGGGTTTAAGAAGTTATTCTCAAATATAATGCAAACTCGAATTAATCAACACATTCGACAATATTTGCGTCCTTAACTATTAGCTCATTTTAGCTGAAATATGACAAAGTTAATATTAAGTTTATTCATATAGTTCTTGAGATCGGTTCTCATCTAGTTTTAATTTCAGATGTTTGGAAAAAATTTCCTGTGGATTAGTTTGTAAATGGGTCTTGATCAAGACTTTAGATAAAAAAAATATGTCTTTATGTATGTATACGCTGATGATGAAATGCTCTAAACAATTTTTTTTTTGTGCTTTTCTAGAGACTGACTACATGTTTTTTTGTTAATTTATTTTATAGAAGTCCAGACTATTTTGGTGTCTGTTTTATATGCTAATCTCATTTTGATGATATCAATTCGGAGTAGTCAATTGCGAATAATGACGTTTTAGTAATGTGTCGAACCTGACAGCTATTAATTAAACAAAAATTTTGGTATCAACATTATAAGAGTGGTTTTATTATTCACTGTTTTGTTGTTTTCCGTTAATTACAGGTTTTAACTACTGACGTATATATTAGTTTAGACCTTGACTATTCTTTGGGATGAACACATTTTTCCGCAAAGAGATTTCGTAAATCTACATCATATGTACATATGCTAGTTTTCTTCCCAGCAATCAAGTAGTTCAGAAGAATTATGTAAATTTGGTGAGATTTTTGTATGTAAAATTATGACCAAATTACTTTACCCCAAGTTGTAATACCATAGGGCCTTTTAATTAATACCGTATATAATATTAAATAATTCCAGTTCTTCTAACTTTTTATTTTATTTTTCCATAAATGTTCGACTGGTGAGACACAAACATTTAAAAAAAAAAAATAATGATAAAAATGATAGTTAAGTTAGAGGCACCCAAGATATATAGGTCTGATTGCCTGATTGGTAAGAGAAGGTACGAAAAGGGATTTAGAAACAATATAGGTAAATTAAAAAAAAAGAGGATGATTTAGACTACAAGATTATAAGGAATTTTTGAATGATTTCAGTAGTTTCCATAAAAAGTACTGATTTTTTTTTTTAACATAAAATAATAAAATTCAATAAACTAGTAACGTATTCTTAAGTACTCTTTACACAGTTTCAAAATGATGGTAATACAATAAGGTAATTACGGCATAAAATGTGTTAAGCACTTTTGTTGTCAATCTGATTGTAACGTTAATCAACCAAAGTAAAACGCATATTCTTTAGACTTTTTAGTTGAGTGGACTTGGAGGAAAGTGGAAGACAAACATGATCGAGTAATTAAGAAGATGTTGATATATATAAGGATAGCAAATGGAAGCTATACAGAAGAAGAAGAAGCAAGTAAACATGATTATCATTTTTGTGGAATTATCAATCAATTAATAATCGACCCCAACATAGACGTTTCATCTATCAATTCTTTCTGGATTCATGACATCAAAACACTTTGTGATTTATCTCCCAATCACTCTCTTGTCGAGAGTTCGTGTCTCTTTAATTATCAACAATTTTATAGAAAAATAAAAAATAAAAGAGAAAAGACCTCCTAAGTCAACAGTTTTGTGTATTCTTTGGAAACAAGGACCAAATGCATTAAGATCCAAAAGTCATTTACTTTTGTTCTACACTACACTCCAATGATAGTATATATAAACCCAACTGTTTCTAGTATTTTATACATGTAAAGTCACCAGGTAATTAGCAATTTATCTCAATCAATAATGTTCAGTCATATGTGAAGTTATTTGCATATAAATCAAACCAAAAGAAATAACAAAAATTAAAAAAAAAATTAAGATGATATTGAAAGTTGTAGTGCACACTTTGCTTTGATCTTTTGAATATTGGACGACGCCATTAATAAACAGGCGCCACATCAAAAGTTGATTTGTTGGTTGCATTCACATATATATTCACTAATTTTAAAAGTTTCTTAGTACTGTACTACTGTATTTATTTATTATTAATATGAACATATCAAATTGATTTTTTTTTTATATATGAATATAAAGAAAATACTGCCCCTTGCAAGTAAAATAGAAAATCAAAGCTTTGGTCGCCGCAGCAAATGGCGTGATCAATGTCTATTTAGAAGAGTTTCATTGATTATTATTTTTATTTTTTTTACGTATGTGATACTACTAAAATAATTAATTCTGTTTTTTTTCGTTTGTCTAGCCAATTACTATCAGATTTTGGGTAACGGGAGATGTTGACATATACATATTTCATATTTGTGCAGTTGGGAACTGAAAAACCTTTTTAAAGGATTGAAGCAACGGAATGCCACCAATCACCATAAATGCATGTAGATAAGGGCGGCAATATTTTATAAAAATGAGATAAATAATAAAGATAATTTTGTTTGATCAAAAAATAAAATAAAGATAATATTGCAACAATTTATCATATTCGTGACATAAATAATTGATAGTATAAGAAGAACTGAAGCAAAATAGTTTTTTTTATTTAAAAGAGAACTATAAAAAAAAAAGACTGGTGTCAACTTTTTTATTTTGTTAATTACCGATGTTTTTATGTTTTTTATTCCACTAAAGTAATACTGTGATAAATTAAACCAAACAGAGAAAATAATATCAGAGGTGTGAAAACATGTTAATCAGTGTACTAATTAATATTCACCAATGACCACAACATCTTCAGTTCTGCATGCATGGGTCTGATGATAGACTACAATCCATTCCATCCTAGACATTATATTCACTATTGAATCGAGTATGATAAACAAACACAATAATCAATCAACTATATGAAAAATGGGAATATTCAAATTTCATTGTTAATTACTGTCAAAATGATTATATATATATTGTTAATTTTTAAATAGTGTATATATATATATATATATATATATATATATATATAGTTTTATTTTGCAATAAATTCACTTGGCTGGAGAGGTTGGGTGATGTCGTTGGCCTACCTTATTGAGATTTTGTACGTCGTAGTATCATTTTCTTTTGTTAGCTTTCGTTTTCACAGTCCAAATATGAGAGAAGATTATGGTTTTGGAAACTCTAATTAGTGTAATTGTTCCAACTGCTACTCACTCACTCATGCTTTGATCCGGATTATTATAAGTATGACCTTTTTGGCCAAATTATTTCAACTATACATATATATTTTAAAGCTTAAATGGATTAAAGATGCTAATTTCAATCATTCATTTTTTTTAAAGCCACGACTCATACTCGTATTATATTACTTAGCAATTGTTAACTCACCCACCCGATTCCCATTTTGACAAATATGGTTTTATTTCATTACTTTATAGTATTTTAAGACATGATCATTCACTTTTACTCGCAAAAGTGAAATATATCTATTTATATATACATATCAATCTTACAAGGTTTATATATATATATTGAATCTATATAAACTAACTAATATTTATGTCTTGTTAAACAAACGAACAAAAAGCATGAACTAGTCTATCCAAACCAAACAAAAGAAAAAAAAATCTATTCAGAAAACTTAAATGAGTTGGTAGACCGTACAGGAAATTTTATTTTTAAAAAGTCTAAATATATGCGATTCGGTTACACATGTATGTATAAATAACTAGTTTTTGAGAAAGACAAAATTTAAGCAATATATGAAGTATTCAGTATTTGTTTTAGTGTAAATGATGAAATCAAGTTTAAGAAAAACTAAGATAGATGTGAAGGATTCTTATTTTTGAAACTATGTAGTATGCATTTTATGTAATGTCATTATACATAGTTTCGTGGTTTGGTCATACTCATACCCAATATCCAAACTGGTAATAAGAAATCACTTATTAAAATATCAGAGAATAATATATATAATATATGTGGTCGATAATTTTCAAAGAAACACACCTGATGAGCAACCAAAACATCAGAATCTTTGGTCTTACTTCTTCACAAAGAACACAAGACTTCGTACGAGTATTATTAGGTGAAGCTTAAAAGACAAGACAATTCTGTAGTACAAGAAGTTTGACAATATGGTTACACGAAGCTGCATGTCTTATTAGTGCATGCTTTTCCTCATTATTTATTTTCTACGACTATATATACAAACTGTACATGCTTCATATATGATTGTATTATTCATGTATATAAAACAAAAACAATTTATTAATTTGATTTATTAGAGTTATATAGATATTACAAACTATGAAGAAAACGTATAGTACACCTACTTCCAACTAAAAATCGGCTTTACCGTGACTGAAGCTCACCTTTTTCAATATCAAAAAGACAAAAACTCTATTGCAAATATTGACTTTTAAGGTACTATTTTATATTCAGAAAAATGGTACTAGTAAATTGAAAACATTCAAATTGAAAAATGGTTTATGAACGTGTGTATAGAAATAGTTGGGTTTATGGGTCTTTCTTTGCTTTCTATACGTTAATTGAATTGAAAACATGTTTCTTGACTTATGAGTTCCATTTTGCACCCAAAAAAAGAAAAAAAAAAAGAGATTCAGAGTCATATTAATGGGCTTTATCTTGTTACTATAGAACTACGGCCCAGTTTAATAAAACGAGAGTCTATAGTTTATGCCATTATATTAACTTGTCCACCAAGAGCTTCGATTTCTTCTTTTTTCAAACAAACACTCGAGAGCCGAAGACCAAAACCGCGAAATGTGTCAGTGAGGGAAGGTGGCGCCACATTCTGTTTCGGTTGTGGGATTCTCTTGTTGTTTCCGCAAAATTGCTCTGAATCTATCGATAAATTGTTTTGGTGAGTCTCGGGTTTGTGTTCAAGAGAGAAACAGAGAGATGTATCTTGCAATGAATCTTGTAAAGAGTAATTTTGTTACATGGATTGAATTTGATCAGTTCTTGCTTGTAAAAGAAATAAGAACCCAATCGTCGTTTACTGTTTCTCTTCTTAGATTTCGAAACTCTGTTTTTTGATATTGTCAAAATTGTGTTCTTGGGAATGGTTATTTTATTGTGTGAATATGACATGTTCGACGTTTTGCCTCTCAACGCAGAATTTTTAGATTTTGTGGTTTTCGAACAGCTTCATTTTATATATAATAAGTGCTTTAGTCACCCTTCTCCTAATATCCTAATTTTCTCTTGCCGTGTGAAGGAAGTAAAAGACGGTTTGGGAATTGCACCAAGCTCCAATCTTTATCCAAGCTCTGTATCAATGTGTAATAACACTCGCTGGATCTACCCATCTCCTGTTGCAACTTACGAGCAAGTGGTGGCTGACAAGGATCTCTTCATGTCTACATTAGTGAACTTACACTCTCAAATGGGTACAAAGTTTTGGTAAGAATTAATCTTCTTGATATCAAGATATAGTTACAACACTTTTTTACCATCAGCAGTCACCAATGTCCATTGCTGAAGTATATATACATGGTTTTAGGATTCCGAAAGTAAGATTTGAGGATATGAACTTGCATAAGGTTTTTTGCAAGGTTACTTCTCATGGTGGAATCGAACAGGTAACCATCATCATCATCATCTTGAGAGTTGAAAGTTTAGAAATCTGTACTTATCTACAGAAAGATCAGTGTTGGCCTAATTTTGTTGAGTTTTTGCAGATAGTTAGAGAAAAGAAATGGAAGGATGTATTTGATACGTTTAACTTCCCCTGTTCACAACGAAACCCTATCTTTATCCTACATGTGCGCAAACTCTATTACTCCCTACTTCACAACTACGAGATCATCTACTTCTTCAAAGCTCGTGGCCTGTTTCCTCCATGTATTCACATTTCAGTTACTTGCTACGTCATAGTTACTAGATCATCCATTTCTTCAAAGATTTGACTTATGAAAATGAGCCTCTCTTCTCTCTTTTTCAGTGACCGGATTTGTCTATGGAAAAAATGAGAGTGGTTATCTTGTTTCTTTCACAATGGGATCATGGAAGATGGAAGGAGTTTTGTATGAGTCTACAGAGAAGAGAGCTACTCAAGATGTAGAGAGACAGAGTTATGATATTTTCCCAAACACTTTGACTGATAAAGCCAACCCTCAAGAGCTTTTTAAAACAAAATGCATTCAGTGGGACAAGGCCACTAAACAGCAGAAAAAAGAGGTATACAATATCAACACTATGTTAATTTCTGGCTTTCATTGTCTAGATTCTAGACCTTCATTGACCATTCATAGCATTCTTGATATGTATCTTTACAATCTATATAAATCAGATTGTTGATGATTTGATGCTGCAACAATGGTCTTCCAAGGAGAACACTGAAGCTGATTTTCTAATGGAAGAATTTGAGGAAAATGAATATGAGGAATACTATTCTGATTCCGAAGTGGAACAACTGTCTCTTTGGGCTGAGAAAACGACTTTTATGGAGATAGCCAATGACTTGATGGTGGCTGGTGAGCAGAGCTCTTATTCTCTATTTTTTTTGTTATTACACAGGGTTAGGCACATGAGTTTCAGATATGTTACTTTAATTTTAGAGTCAAAGCGCTAGACGCACTCCTTGCTCAGGGAAACAAGGAAACAATACCATTCCAAAGAAGCTCAAGAGTTTAACAGTTTCTTTATTCTAATTCTTGCTTGAGGAAACAATCGATATAGATATTAGCTCAATTATTTCTGCAACTCTATCATGATTGGTGTGGTTTGAACGTCACCTTAAAAGAAGCCGATTCTCATTATATAGTTTCTCTCTTTATATTCTCTTTTTCTTTTTGCGAAATATGTTACCTTCTCTGCCACAAATTGCTATGTTCTTGCTGCTTTTAAAGTTGAATGTTTCTGTGTCTCATCTTCTTGTGCAGTTCCTGTGACTGGAGTGTTGGATGGAATATTTGACAGGGGTTATTTTATTAGTGTCACAATCGAATCAGAGAAGCTGCAAGGAGTCCTGTATCTCCAGTCACTCAGCACAGTTACTCAAGAGAAGCTCAATGCAGAGGAAGAAGCGGTATAACACATTGACATCCACATTTTAATGTTTCTAATTTGCTAGCTTTAGGCAGTTCATCATCTACCGGTTTTTTCTTGATTTCTATGCTCAGGCTATGAATTTGAATAGGTTAACAAAGGGATGGAAGTAGTGGAGGACGAAGCGCACTGTAGCAGAGAAAATGGAATATCACAACCATGAGAAGCTCATCGCCGATCACAACCAAGCCCTATTTGAGATAACTGATGACTTGATGGGCACGTCTCAGGGTGCCGTTGAGCAGAGTTGGAACTGGTTTGCTTATAGTCTTTTCCTACACAGGGTTTTGAAACATGCTACAGTTTTAGATAGGATACGTCTAGCACTGTACAATGTACAGGTTTTGAAACATAATATAGCTTTATATAGGTTACATCTAGCAGAATATGTATTAGTATTAGGTTTAGGGTTTGTTGTAGGCTTGTGACGTTCAATTTTGTTTCTTTTAACCGAGCTAACAGCGGAATTACGTCAAAGTTTACTACACTATGCGTAAATGCTTCTAACTTTATAAATCTTAATCATATATATTAAAAATAGAAAACTAGGGATGGGTCTAAGTTATAAACTTATAACTATGACTTCTGTTTTTGTTTTTTTTCGTCAGTTTAGTGTACTCGTGTAAGGTATTGGTGATACTTTTTACTTTACATTAATAATAAATCATGTACATATGATATGACATATATAAATATACATATTGATAAAACATTAGACAAACGATATTATAAACGAAACAGAAGAAAGTATAAAAATACACTTGGGATCAAACTCTTCATATTTGAAATTAATTAGGGGTTGGGTTGACCCTTTCTTTCTGACAAGGCAAATTAGGATACTTTGGACTGCATCCCCATGCATGATCTTGAGCTAGAGCATCATAGCTTATCACCACTTCTTGTGCATTGGCCTTGAGTGGTGCACATGTGAAGAACACCATAATAAGAGCCACATACATAATTATAGCCTTCATTATTTTCTTAGACATACCCATTATCTCTTTTTCTGAATTAAGGGGAAAAAAAGAATCAGAAAATTTATCTATAGAAAGATTGAATTGTTTTTTGCTGGGTGAGAAACATGAAGGGATTATTGAAGCTTTAAATAATAATAAAAGGATATGGGAGACGAGATATATTGTTATGTTTCTTTCTTTTTTTGGAATACTGACTTGGTGTATCAATCTAAAATATTGATATTGTTATCTTACTATTTTCTTCCCAAAGTAATTGAAAATTAGTTTCACGTACGTCTTAAGAGAGATGATATCAAAAAACCCTAATTGTTGTATGAGTTAAGAAAACCAACCAAACCATCATTTGGCTGTCATTAGCAAAGCATATTGTTTTTGTAGCATTCAGAAAACAGAGCATAATTCTGTTTTTTCTTTTTTCGTTGGCAATGTTCCAATGATAACAAAATCAATTCCAAACTGTCGATGTCTCTTAATACGTACGTGAAACTAATTTCTAATCACTTTAGGAGTAGAATAGTAAAATAGCAATATCAATATTTTAGAATGATACACCAAATCTGTATTCCAAAAAAAGAAAGAAACATAACAATATTTTCTCCCATCTCCTATATTATTTAAAGCTTCATATCCTTTCATGTTTCTCACCCAACAACAACAAAAACAAAAAGTATCCAATCTTTCTATAGATAAATTTTCTGATTCATTTTTTCCCCTTTAAGTACAAAAAAAGAGGAGATTATGGGTATGTCTAAGAAGATAATGAAGGCTATAATTATGTATGTGACTCTTATTATGGTGTTCTTCACATGTGCAACACTCAAGACCAATGCACAAGAAGTGGTTATAAGCTATGATGCTCTAGCTCAAGATCATGCATGGGGATGCAGTCCAAAGTATCCTAATTTGCCTTGTCAGAAAGAAAGGGTCAACCCAACCCCTAATTAATTTCAAATATGAAGAGTTTGATCCCAAGTGTATTTTTATACTTTCTTCTGTTTCGTTTATAATATCGTTTGTCTAATGTTTTATACCACAAATGGTTACGTCAAATATATGGTGTTATAGGCAAAGTGATATCATTAATTTGTATATACATGTCATATTACATTATTTGTTTTGAATAAAAAATATAAAAAGTTTCACCAATACAACTTGTAGTAGTGTTTTATTTGATATACACGACAAGAAAGCATCTTACATTGCAAATTAATTGTGTTGCTTTTAGTGGAATTTTGGTAAAATAATATAGATCATCGTCAACTGAATCACGTCAAAACCATTTAAAGTACAACACGTACGTCTTTGATTATTTGATCCAAGTATGAACTCAATTACAATTGATAATTTTATGAAATAATTAAGAAACCTAGAAAATACATAGCCGGCTCTAGCTCTTCGACTTCTAGTGAGACCATAAACTATATTTGTGTATTATTTTTTCTTTTGGCTGTTGTAACTAAATTTGACAAAATGGTAGCAATAATTGGTCTCGCAATATTACAAATAGCATTTCATTTTAAGACACCTTATAACCAAATTTATACTGTTCTTCTTAATCAATGTCCAAAGGCTAAGCCATAAATATGTTTATTTATCGACTCTCGCTCTCTCTTAAGGACCACTATATACGTATATTATATAATCACGTTGATTAATCAGATTTAAATTGTAAAGTATCATTTTCAAGGTTTATCGTTTTGTGTTTACCTAAAGTTAAAAAACGTGTTGATGCACATGCTTTTTCAACTTAAATCCGCAATGCATCAACGAAACGTAACTCAAGTTGTGGGTACCAATAAAATTACTTACCAACCATTCCATGCATAATGCCTCGTTATTAGGCTCTTAATAACTTTCTTTTATTTTCTAAAACACTATCAGATCCACTATCACCATATATAGATTTGAACACATGGCCGTTTCTAGTCAATTAGATTTTGGATTTCAGAATGTAAGAATTCTTCTAGTATAGATTTACTTAGGTAAATTTTGGCTGAATTATGAGGTTATAATTAAGAATAGTTTACTAAATCGAACCACTTAAAAAGCCAAAACAAAACAAAATATTAATAAGAAGCAAAGAAATGAGAAAAAAGTCTGGACTCCTTTATTATAATTAACCAATCAAATAAACTCCCTGAATTTTCTTCTAGCTAGCTAGCTAGCTAGCTAGATTCCACCATGCATGTGTAAATAATATTACATTCAACGTATACATCATAGTTTCCTTAAAACTCTTTAAAGTTAATGTAAGTGATTCGACAAAGCACTAGATATACATATGTTATATGTAGTTTCTGTCGTATACTATATGTAATTAAATACTCAAGAAAAATATAAATATCAGCTTAAGTAACGAATAGAGAGGAAAGTTAAACACACTCTCTCCTCCTAATCTCTCAAAAACATAGGAAAAAAATAAAAAAAAATGATTTGTATCGGAAACTTAAAATTTGGTAAGTTCTTTACCTCAAGAAACTCCGGTAAAATATCTCCGGCCACCTTCTCAAAATCATCGGAGAAAAGATTGTGGAATGAATTTCAAGAAGAAGATCACATCCTGAAAGCCCACGTACGTTCTTGGTTACCTTCGCCGGAAAATATTTTCCGGTGGGAAGCTACCATTAACGGCCCGGCGGGTTGCCCTTACGAGAAAGGAGTCTTCGCCGTCTCCGTTCACGTCCCAACACAATATCCTTTTGAACCACCCAAAATCACATTCAAGACCAAGGTAACCAATAATTATATATATAACCGGTTTAAGTAATCTTTCGGTCTTGTTTAGTTTTCCGGTTTAAAACTTCGTGTTTGTTGTTTTCTCTAAAACTGCATGCGTCCAGATATTTCATCCTAATATAAGCAAAAAAGGAGAAATCTTTGTTGATATATTGAGATCACGATGGTCATCTGCGTTGACCATCAATGTGGTACTGCTTTCTATATGTTCGATTTTGTCGAACCCGGTTGAACCATTTTTGGTTAGCAATCGTGCCGCGAGACTGTACCGGGAAGACCGGAAAGCTTACGTGAAAGTTGCGAGAGAATGGACTGTGAAGTATGCAAAGGGATGATTACTTAGTTGTTCCCAAGTTCTACATTTTATTAGTTGATGGCTCTATTAGTTGATGACTTCTGTTTTTGTTATTATCGTCAGTTTAGTGTCGTCTAAGGTCGTGTGATACCGAGAGATTTGATACGATCAATATACTATAGTTGTATTTGTATTCAAGGACGTAAATTGCAGCTGCATGCTAAAACTTTTTGCAAAACTGCTTGTGGGATTCTGTTTTTTGACTTTTACAGTCAGCAATTCAAATATAGATTTAACCTAAGGAAATCTGGAAATATATATGAGTGTTTCTTTTTCGTCCAATATAAACGTGTTTGAACTGATTATTTAACCAAAGTTTCGTTAAAACAATGAAACTAGACGTGTTTTGTTTTGTTGGTCGCTCACCGTTTATCAAACGCAGCGTTAACACGTTTGTTGACTGGTTGTACATTGGTGATACTTTTTTACTTTATATTAATAATAAAAAATCATGTACATATGACACATAAATAATTATACATATTAATGATCACTTATTCGGTAACTTTGACTTCACATTAACACCATAAACACTTGGGATCAAACTCTTCATGTTTGAAATTAGTTAGGGGTTGGGTTGACCCTTTCTTTCTGACAAGGCAAATTAGGATACTTTGGACTGCATCCCCATGCATGATCTTGAGCTAGAGCATCATAGCTTATCACCACTTCTTGTGCATTGGTCTTGAGTGGTGCACATGTGAAGAACACCATGATAAGAGCCACACACATAATTATAGCCTTCATTATCTTCTTAGACATACCCATTATGTTTTTTTCTTCTTTAAATTGAATTTAAGGGGAAAGAAAAATAAAACACTCAGAAAAGTTTATAATCTATTTGAAAGATTGGATTTTTGTTTGTTTGTTGTGTGAGAAACATGAAGGGATTATCGAAGGTTTAAATAATTAAGGAGATGGGAGACAATATTGTTATGTTTCTTTCTTTTTTTAGCATACTGATTTGGTGGTTCCGTTCTAAACTATTGATATTGTTATTTTACTGATTTCTTCCTAAAGTAATTGGAAATTAGTTTCACGTACGTCTTAAGAGATCTCGAAAGTTGTTATTTAAGTTTTATTTAAGATTTACGTCTTAACAAATTACCAGATGAACAGCTGAAAAAACTGAAGACACTTTAACGAAATAAATAAAAGACAGAATTATACCTAATTTGTTTTTCTGAATGCCATAAAAACTAATATCCTGTGCCAATTACAGCCAAATTATGTTTTGATTAGTTTTCTTAACTAATACGTACAATTAGTACGCTGGCTTGTTCTTCGTAATATAATGAGAATTTTTGAGAAATACCCATTTTGGTGTACCCTTTTTAAAAATACCCCATTTATCTATCCATTTTCAAAAATACCCCTTTTTAAATATAAAAAATTATAAAGTTTTATATAATTTATAAGGTACTTCTATATAATAACTATTACTGGAAGATTCAATACAAATATTTTAAAATGTTTTAAATAGTTTTAAATCGTTTTTATAAGTTTTATAAGGTTTTTAAAAGGATTTATACGGTTTTTATAAGGTTTTTATAAGCTTTTTATAATTTATTTTTACCCTATTTATGAAAGGTATATAAAGTTTTATACACATATAAAGATAATTTGTGTATATATTTATAAGTTTACACACATATTTGGCTAAATTTCAACATTTTTAGTGGGTTTTTTGATAAAATTTGAAAATGAGTTATTTTTAAAAAGAGGTATATGAAAAACTGTATTTTTGAAATTCCCCCTTAATATAATTGACGTGGAATCAACAATTAGTTTATTTTCAAAGTAAAATAGTATTGATTAACGAGACACCAACTTTTCTTATATTTCAACGTGTAAAGTGTAAACGAAATTGTGTTATAATGATCGTATACATTTAAACAAAACCCACTCACTAACTGTACCGTACGTAAATAATAGCCAGACGAGAACAGAAGAATAATTTTTAAGTTTGTATATGTAAATTGTAAAATATTTTCTAAAAACTACAATAAGGTTTTCTCCCTTTTCAAAATGTGGTAGAAAACTGTTTTTCAAATACGGTACTTAGATGAGTTTGATTTCTTTCTTAAATTTGCGTTTGAAGTTTGCGTTTCTACTTTTTTTTGAAAAATGGATTATGTTCATATATGATTTGTAAAAATGTTTTTATGAAAAAGAAAATTTTTTTTTCCTCACCAACTAATGTAGTTTTCTATTTTAGAAAATGTAATTAATGTGATCTTTCTCTAGCATACAAGCACAAATCTACAAAATTTATTGAAATAAATGTACATAGTTGAATACATTTCCATAAATGTTATTCAATACTGTATTTCAATGACTTGCCACACTTATGTATTATGCCAAGTATATTAAAATTCAATAACTTGCAAGAAATCTCAAGTCAAGTCAAGGCAAGCCGCGACTATATATATATAAAAAAGACCCTCAAGAGTCAAGAGCAAGCTCTCACAGTTTCTTTACACAACAAAATGAATAAGGTATTCTTCCTTCTTCTCGTCTCTCTCGTTCTCCTCCCTCTTCACGTGACTGTCCTGGCGGCCATAGGCAGCTGGACTCCCATCAGCGACGTTAAGGATCCTCACATCGTAGAGATAGGCGAATTCGCGGTCTCCGAGTACAACAAACAGAGCAAATCGGGACTGAAGTACGTGAAAGTTGTTAGCGGCGAGTCTCAGGTAGTCTCTGGTGTGAATTATCGGCTTCTGGTGGCTGCTAATGATGAAGTCGGTGGCCCGAGCAAAAACTACGAGGCGGTAGTATTTGAGAAGCACTGGCTGAAATCAATGAATCTCACATCCTTCAAGCCAGCCACTATTAATGCTCGCTTCCTTTGACGAGCTTACATATGATAGTTACATGTAGCCTATATATCTTTTTAATGTTATAAATCTATCAAAGAAAGTTTAAACAACACATAGGAGATGTTCATTTCTTTATTATCTGGTTTTCAAATTTCGTGTATGGGCAGATCTGAAGAAAATGATATCGAACAAGTCTTGACATCTACTAATAAGTTACGTTTAATACATACATGAAATATGTTTAAAATAAAGCTTCTAACAAACATTATAAAACCAAAACATAAACTTTATTTAAAAATAAAATTATACATATAGTATTAATTTTTCTACTTCTAACATTATCAACTAGTTTAGGATTATCGTTTCGTCAACATATAACTTACGTAGTTTTTGTTAAATACGTTGATATATCAACATTTAAAGATTAAATTCTTATAATACATGTTGTTAACAAACAAAAAAATTCTAACTATAAGCATTGTGTACATACAACCATATGATGACAAAAAAAAAAGTACATACAACCATATAAATAGAGATTTATTGATAGAATGATAGAATGTTTTGTTTTCCATAAATGTAAAATTAAGATTACCAAATTATACTTTTATTATCTTATAAATTACAATTTATCTATATAGAAGGATAATATATATATGATTATAAAATACAATAAAGTTATCTTAATACATTTTTCCGCATTTTGGTTCTCCTTTATATATGTTTTGAGTATAGTACTCCGAATCAATGTTTCCGTATCTCCAAAATTTCAATGCTGTGAAGCTTCATTGTTCTTTGGGATTGGCTTTGTATATGGATTTACCCTAGTTTTCTGGCAAAATTGAGGATATTTTGGAGAACATCCCCATGCATGATTTACACGGAGAGCATCATATGATATAATAGTCTCCGTTTTGATTGTAACCGCCTCAAAAGAAAAAACAAGTAGTAGAACAAAGTATAACATCGATATTTTCTTCGACATGGCCATATTTGAAAAGAACAACGTTAAACTAAATGGGATTTTACTTGCTTTTTTTTTTTTTTTTAGATTTTGAATTTTGCAATGGTGGCTTAGTGCTTTATATAAATAGTTGATTGAGTTTGCTAAATAAAGTTAAATTGTTCTAGCAGGTTACTTAGTTATGAAATTCCAACAAGAAATCTGTTTTACAATTGTAATTGTTGTTGTTAGTTAAACAATACATACAATAAGATCGTTGCTAGAAAATAAAAACAAAACGTTGACCCGAAAATTAACAACAAAATGTCAAATTTAGTTTTCTTTTTTTCTTTTCCGAGTTCAACTTAACTCGTTATATATATGTAGAGTTTATAAACTAACTAATTGCTGGCAGTTTATTTGGAAAATAACGCAATGATATAATAATACCGTAAATAAGAGATGTACATCGCTTTTGTTAAACATCATAATATTTTTTTTTGTATATTTTCAACAAATTAATAGGACATTATTTTATATAATATTATTGCCTATATCACTCGTAAAATTAAATCACATAAATGCATGGTGATAATGATCTCAAGTATTGTTAATTTTTTTTTTTTTTTTTACTTTCGTGATTTTACCTACACAAAATTTAGGTTCCTACCCTTTTTTACTAACTCTAATCTATACTTATTTTTTCCCTATTTTTTAATGGTTAATTTCCAATTCGCCTTGTGAATTGGGGCTCGCTTCGTCTCCCTCTCTCTTTGTCCGAATAAAGATACTGAATATAAATTTATTAGACTGCCTCGACCTTGTGTCTCTCGGCAACGTTGGCGAAAAGAAAAAAAAAACGAACTTTGTGACAAACCCTTTTGAGCTCTCTCTTTTCCTAATCCCTAGATTAGTTTAGATTCTAATCTCCTCTACATCGTTGCATCTTCTGTCCTTCCCACGTCAAATAGTCTCTCCGCAGAACCTCTTTGATGATTCTTCTACTTTGTGGGTTTAAGGGTAAAATATCTGGATTCTGCTTTTGAGCTTTGGATTTGCATTAGCCTTGTTTCAAAAAGCATCTGTTTTTGCGTTTAAGGTCTAGTTGCCTGCTAGTGTTCAGTGTTTCGATGAATATTTGTCTTTGATAAATAAAAAAATCACAACTTTTTTTTGTTATTTAGACCTATATATGGAAGATTTTGAAACTTTGAATTTAAGGTATATAGTTTTTACATACGAAGCAAAATTTGTGTATCTTCCGTAAAAATCTGTAACCTTTTTGTAAAATGTGTTTTTTTTTTTTTTTAAGAATTACGGAATTTACTTGTGTTTGTTTGATTTTTCATAACTGTAAAATTTGATTGTTTTTTGCTTATTATTTGTGTTTGATCCTATTAGTATTCTAATTTCCTACTACTATATGCTTTGGTGTATATTTGATTTGAATGTGGATGAGTTTCCTTTTGCATCTGGGTTCTGGTGAAAGTTTCAAGCTTTATCTGTTGGATTTTATCTCTCTGTTTGCTTCATCTATTGCTTCATTGTTTATTTGCTAAGCTGTGATTTGAGTATATGGGTGGAGCTAACATGGTTCTGTATAATGGTCTTTACGCAGTTTTTGATTAGTAACAAATGGGAAAGAGGTTAAAGAAGGGTCAAAAGCCTCCAAGTGTGAATCAGCCTGCAACGTTCTCCAAGAATTTAACTAAGCAATCTGAGCAAAGCGTGGAGATAACTGAGGAGGTTGCTGTGACAATGACGGAAAAAAGATCTTGTGTCCATTTTGATAGATTTGTTCATTTGGATGAGTTGTTGAAAACGATTAAATCATCTCAACACATCAAGTGTGGAGAATGCAAGGAAGGAGTGCACTTGAAGGGAGATGGTAAGGAAAGCATTAATACCTGGAAAAACGGGTTTTATTCTTTTTACCCAATGTCAACTAAAAAGGCTACTTGGGTTTGCTTGGAATGTGGCTATTATGTTTGTGGAGATGTTGGTTTGCCAACTGGATCTCAGAGTCATGTTGTCCAGCACACCAAGTTGACGCGTCACCGTTTGGTGATTCAGTGTGAAAATCCTCAGTTAAGATGGTGTTTCCCATGCCAATCACTTCTCCCTTTTGAAAAAGAAGAGAATGGTGAGAAGAAAGATTTGTTGGTGGAAGTCGTGAAATTGATTAGAGAACGATCTTCAAGCACGTCCTCTGCTTCAAGTGAAACTGAAAATTCATCTTCAGGAAGTGGTAGTATCACTGGTGGTATACAAGAAGCAAGATATGGTTATGCTGTAAGGGGTTTACTTAACCTTGGCAACACATGTTTCTTTAACTCTGTAATGCAAAACCTTCTTTCTTTGGATCAATTACGTGAGCACTTCTTGAAAGAAGATATGTCTGGTGGCGGGCCTCTCGTTTCTTCCTTGAAGAAATTATTTGCTGAAACAAAATCAGAAGTAGGCTTTTTTAGGAGTGCGATAAATCCAAGAGCCTTTTTCGTTTCTGTTTGTTCTCATGCTCCCCAATTTAGGGGATATCAGCAGCATGACAGTCATGAGTTGCTAAGGCACTTGTTGGACGGTTTGAGCATTGAAGAATCAAGCCTGAGGCAAAAGCTTGATGTTTCTGATAGTGATGAAAGTTTTACACATCAGAAACCTACTCTCATAGATTCTGTTTTTGGAGGTGAAATTTCGAGCACTGTGTCTTGTTTGGAATGTGGGCATTCCTCTAAAGTGTTTGAACCCTTTTTGGATCTCTCTTTACCTATTCCGTCCAAGAAATCACCTCCTGAAAAGCAACAAACCCTTTCTCAGGCAAACAAGGTTCCTAATAATGACGTAGTCAGCAAAGATTCAGAAGTTGTGTCAGCTAAACCTGCATTGTATAACAATTCCACTGTTTCCATCTTCGAGAGCCCTTCTGCTATGGCACTTGATGATAAGCAGGTCTCTGATATTGCAACAGACTCTGATACTGAAGAACATGATAGATTTTGGGAGGATTATTCTAAATCAGAAACCTCTCACAATGAAACTGATTTGGTTTTGCTTGGTGATGTTAGTGCTACCGCTCCATCAACTGAGGCTAAAGGAGTTAACCAGACTTTGGTAGGTAGCACAGAAACGCTGATGCATGATAGTGATGGAATTGCAAAACCAGAAACTGTCATTGATGAAGAAGATGCACGAGCTACACAATCTACTGAAGACACATATGCAAGTGGGATTTCCTCAGATATTGATAAGGCTCGAGTTTTCGGTTCTCCTGATTCAGGGAAAAGCTCTTCATCTGGAATTTTGTGGGATGATGAAGAGCTTCCATTGATGGTTTCAGATTCTCAGATTCTGTACATGCCTTATAAAGATGACATATCCTATGATGATAACACAGTTGCAGAAGGTATAGGTGGGGCTTCGTCATATGTGAGGAGCCACCATTTACAAACTGATGAGCCTGGCATCTCCTGTAATAATGAAACAGTTCCGGCAGGTGAGAGTGGAGGTTCCTCGTCATTCTGGAGCTGTGATCATGAACCAAAAATAGATTATGTTGACTTTAGCAGTTTTTTTGACGAGCCTGAGATACCCGAAGGACCTGTTTTCAGACTGCCATATAAAACTGAAGTTTCTGAAGCTGGTTTTGTGGCTGTCAGCAGTAATGATAAAACAATTAAGTCATGTGATGGTAAAGGTTCCTTGTCATTCGTGAGTGGTGACCATGAACGAAACATAGATTATTTCGACTTTAGCAGTTTTGTCGAGCCTGAGATATCTGAAAAACCTTGTTTCCGACCGAAGTCAAAGTCTGAAGTGTCCAAAGCTGATTTTATGGCTGTCAGCAGTAACGATAAAACATTTAGAACAGGTAAAGATGAAGCGTTTTCATCATTCATGAGCTGTGACAATAAACAAAACAGAGATTATGTTGACTTGATTGACGACCCTATGATATCTGAAAGACCTGCTTTTAGACCGCTATCTAAAGCTGAAGTTTATGAAGTTGGTTTTATGGCTGTTAGCAGCGACTCTGATCCTGTAGTTATTGATGATTCGGATTCACCAGTGTCTGTAGATAAGTGTTTGGCTCAGTTCACCAAGCCTGAGATTTTGTCAGAAGACAATGCTTGGCATTGCGAGAATTGTTCGAAGAACCTAAAACTCCAGCAGTTGAGAGAAAAGAGAGAAACTGAAGAAGGATTGAGCAATGGATGGGTGAATGAAAATGGAGCTAGTTTGGCATCGGCTTTTGATGACTTCATAGACAATCCATTAATTCAATCCGCTCCGATCATCGAATTGCTAAACTGCAAGGAAGAGAAAAGCGCCATATTTGATGGAATTCTGGGAGATTCAGATGCAAAGCAAGCTCCAATTACTTCTTCAGTTACTGAAACTTCTATTCTCAGTGGAGAAACCATCAGTTCTCAACCAGCCAATGGCTATGAATGTGAAAACTGGGAAGGCAAGGCACTAGATCCTGAGGAAGTGATAGTAAAAAGTGATGCTACTAAAAGGGTACTTGTAAACAAGGCACCACCTGTCTTGACCATACATCTCAAAAGGTTCAGCCAAGATGCTCGAGGCAGGCTAAGCAAGTTAAGTGGCCATGTTGACTTCAAAGAGTTCATCAATCTTAGCCAATATATGGATACTAGGTAAATGCCCATTTTCTCGAATTAGTAAGCAGAATCTTTTCCTTCAATGTTTTGCCACATTTGGTCTGAACAATCATAAAATCTGCTTATCGTTTCTCTCTCTCCCCTGTAGGTGGACCGAAGAAGACCAGCCGGTTTACAGGTTGGCCGGGTTAGTGGAGCATCAAGGGACAATGAGAGGTGGTCATTATGTTGCTTACATTAGAGGAGGCGACAAGACGAGGAGAGAGTCTGATATTGAAGAACCTAACTCATCAATATGGTATCACGCAAGCGATTCTTGGGTTCGACGGGTTTCTTTCGAAGAAGTTCTCCGTTCTGAAGCGTATATCTTATTTTACGAACGGATCTAAGAATCCAGAGGTCGGAAATGTCTTTCTATAATATAGATGAAAGGGACAAGATAGGTTTTGACGTTCTTCACCGTTTGTACTGGTGAATTGACTCTCTTGACAATTGAGTTTAGAATATATGACTATATCATTTTGTCTTATTTATAAAAGTCATATATATACAAGTTTCGTTATAAAATGATAAAGAACTGTGTTAATAAAGAATTGCTACTAAAACTGATTCAGAGTTCAGAAAAAATCAGATCCGTATTAGTTCTAACTCTGACCAAAGTTGCGTTACAGATGATGGCAAAGTAAACTGCATACATGTTGCAAAAATCTATTGTTTCTCTAACTACTTGGTTTAGTTGTAAACAGGGCACAAGTCAGGCTGACGTACAATATGTATAACGTCTGCGGCAAGATAGTACACGTTTTGATTCCGTTTCCAGCTCCACAATGCATGCGTCTCATTCTTCACCTACAAAGGCCAAAAGTATTTATTAAAAAAAGAACAGTCAGTTTCACGCAGTTTACAACAATGTATTGGCGGTTGGCACACTGGAGTTGGTTCAATCGGAGAATATAACAGAACAGGTTCTGACTTCATGTGTATAAATAAGGCAAAAACTGTGATTTGCAGTCAATAGGTTACTTGAACATCAAGCCATAAAGAATAGAGAGAGAGATCTAACTTTAGAGAGAGATCTAACTTACTTCTAGCATACCGAAACCGAAGCTGCTCTCTCTGTATGCGCTATAGTCTGGCTGCTTAACCGGACAAATCTCATCGTTTACAGTCTCTAAAGGGAAGTTAAGGCCACTAGATATGCACGAGTGGTTCTGAGAAGGATCTGGACAATTCCCTGGGTCATCTACATGCTCAATGTCCAGCTTCCCAGCTCCTCCTGCACCGGTTGATATATAAACCGGACCACACTGGTCTAACTCATAGTTATAGACTCTGTTTGATCTCTCATAGGCATCAACCTAATTCAGGTTTTGAGGGGAAGTTAGTGTGAAGAACATATCCCTCAAACGCAAATAAACACACCCTCAGAACAACACCTTACCTGACTATTGAAGATGATATCAACTTGGTAGCTATAGAGTAAGTCTTCAAGATTTATCCTCATGGATTCAGCTTCTCTGTAATGCCCTTTGAATGTGCTGTACCAAGGAAGACTCCAAGTTGCCACCACCCATGGAGTTTCTGATCTATTTATGTTTCTCAGGTCACTTTCAAGCCAAATATACTGATCAGCTGTCGGAGAACAGGCAATTCGCAAAATTACAAAACTACATTTCAATGCAATTTAAACCTAAAGAAGGAAACGAAAACATGGAGAAACTTTACATGAGTTATCATATGGAGTGTATGAATTGAGCACTATGAAATGAGCTCCTCCCGCGTTGAAAGAATAGTATAATGGTGAGAAAGAACCGCTTTCGTTTGAAGGGAATGTAAATCTTGAACTGTATGCACTGAATGTCAAATTATTATCCATCTGCGGCTCAATCTCATGACCTCCAGCTACCATCATGGTTGGAACATTAGCCGTGAGTGGCTCCATGAACCTGAAATAAAAACCCTTAATAATTTAGTGTTGAAAACCACCAAAGGATTCACAATCATTAGTCAAGAATCTTATTTTACCTTCCCCAATAATCCCAGCGAGGCTGATAAGTTTCTCGACTAGAAGAACAAGAATCACAATCAGAACTGGTTTCATTATGGTCACACTGACAAGAACTACAATATACTTTAGTGTTATTCGTGAGATAAGTATCAGCGTAGCTGAAACCTCCAATTAAAACCACAAGATCAGGATGGTTAGAGAGAATACTTCTCAAAGTTGTTGATGTGTTGTAAGTAAGACCCAAGTCTCCGGCCACAACGATTCTGTGCGGGTAATTCTCTGATGTAGACTTAGGCATTGTCCTGAAGTAATATTCTTTGCTCATTGCTGATACAGACGGGTCTCCGCATTGGTATCGATACAATGTGTTAGGTTTAAGACTTGTGAGTTGAACATGGTGAATGATGCCTGAAGTATAGTTCTTGAGACCTTTCTCAGGAGGATACTGTTGGTTATAAACAAAAGAATGACCTGTTGCATTTCTGCTTCTAGTAACGACATTAAATTCACGGTATTGAACTATGCTTTGCACAGAATTAGGATCCAGAGGCAAGGAATTTTCTTCACCGATTTGGAATTCCCCTGTAGTAATACAACAACCTTGATTCAGAGCTCTGTTAAATGCAGAAACAGACAAAAAAAAAAAGAAGCAAATAGTTTCTTGAAGATAAAGGATGAAACTTTAAGACAAAAATCTTGATGTTGGAACAGCTAATGTCCCAGTTTATGGATTATACTGAAACAAACACAGACCGGAACAAGAACTGTTGAAGTTTCTAAGATCCAGATCTTGGCTCAAAAAGAATACACCTTCATGGACAATGAACCCAACACTTAATGATGAAATGTTTAAAGCATATATAGTCAGATGTTTTCAAACGAAATCAATCAAAAAATTTCCACATTTTATATAAAAGTAAGAAGTGAAAAGTTTGAAGCATTTCAGACTATTTTGTTTTCCGCCTTTTTAGAAAATACCTAAATCTTCGGGGAAAAGATAAAGAAGAAAGAAAGTTGAAGAGTCAAGAAAGACCTGTGACCCAAGAAATCCAGACGGAGTCAAAGCTGTAAGAGAGAGAGACAGAAATTTGTTCAGGCTGAAACTTCAAATTGGGTTGTATGAAACTCGGGTCGGATTCTGGCAAGTCGACTGCAGTCGGGTTAAGATTCGGGTCGAGCGGAGCAGTCTCGGGGTCGAACGGGCCTTCAAGCGTCGTGGAGAAACCATGAACGATAATAGTAACTGTAGAAACCAATAGGACAAAAAGGGACATCTTCGTTGTACATTTTACCACCATTTTTATAACATAGATGTTTGTTTGTTTTGTTGCAGCGAAGAAGATAATAAAACTCTCTTTACCATAACACCAATTGGTCTATTCCAATTATTTTCCGGTTTACATTTTAACCGGTTCTAAGATTTTAACTCTTTAGACCAATCACGAAGAGACAAATATTAATTAGTTTCCTTTAAAATGAACTGGACAATAACAACGTTCAGACAGACTTTAGAGATTCAACATAACAAAAAAAACCCCGAATAGGTCGTAAATAAAAATCCTAAATTAAGAAACCCTAAAAGAGTCATATTCTTTTCTTTTTTTTCCGGCGAGATCTTAAGTAGGAGTGTAAGGACCGCCACCGCCGAGTTCCATGACCGACAAGATCTCATCTTCTTCCTTCATCCTCAGCTGTTGGAAATTATTAGAAAGTAAATGAACAGTGAGTAACATTGTAATTTCCGCTAGTAGTAGTATGAAAAGCTTAAAAGTGAGAGAACAGACCTGAGCAGGAGTCTGTCGTGGTTTGATGTGTTTCTGGTTGTAGATGAATCGGACAGCACCGTATTCTAAGTTTCTCTTTACACAGTAAGCAATCATTAGTTTCTTAAGATGTGCATGAGCTCCTATCTTGTATACATCCTCTGCTCCCTGTTCCAAACCCCCCACACCATCTTCGTTTTCAATTTTTATTTTTTATTTGTCAATATATTAAAAAGAATTTAAAGGAACAAAAATTGTAACTAATTTTCTGAAAAATACAAAAGAAAAATAACGAAACAGAATGTGTAGAATTAAAAAGAAAAGAGGAGTTTTTTTATTTTGTAAATTTGGTCGGATGAAGCGAAAAGAAAATAAAAAGGAAAAAGGTGGAAGAAGAAAGAACGGACCTGCTGGTTCTTGACCTTGAGAGTGAGCTTCTGATGGGGTGGTTCAGGAGATCGAGACCTCTTTGATACAAAAGAAGCAGAGATCGTATTCGTGCCTGAGGAGCTCACCATTCTTTGTCGTTCAAATATCACACAACTCTTTCAGGGTTCCACAGAGAGAGAGAGAGAGAAGAGGAGAGAGAGGTGAGAAAGTGATGGAAAGTTAAGAAAAGAGCATTGAACGAACATTAAAGTACAATCCTCGTCCACCACTCTTATTGGTCCATTTTCTTTCTTTTCTTACTTGAGATTCCCATTTTTACCCTTGGTCTTTTGTTGTTGTTTCGTTTCCTTTGAATCATCCCATCACTTCACACGTTACACATTCCAACAGTACGTTGAAGTTTGTACTGACTCATGCAACAGGCTCATCATTCATTATTATTAACTTAACAAATTCAAACATATTTCAAATGATACAACAATAAAGAAAAAGGTCAAAAACGAAAAACTAATACATCTGCTGTTAGAACTTAAAACTGTATATAGCTTATAGACTAATAAGCTAGCTCTTGTTTATTCTCCCTCTCTCCAAACCAAAAAAAAACATCACACTTAGAGAGAGATGAGTCTCATCCTAAAGAGAAGTTCCATGTCTATAAAGTTTTCTAACGAAATAAATAATCTGACCTTTTTTACCTCTACAAAGTGTGACTTGAGATGATTCAAGAAAAAGAAAAAAAGAAGAAAGGACACCGGTAGCTGTGTGAGAAGAATGGATCGATCTCCATGAGGAGAAAAACAGTGTTGGATATCTTCATCAGCATCATTATTTTCGTCGTCATCATCACCATCATCATAAAGAATCGATATAATCTGGAGACTGGATGATTCGAATCAGCTCCTTCAGGTTTGCTAGAACCTGACGTGGTCCTAGACTATCTTCCCCAACAAAGTTCAAGAGCTGCTCGATGTTCTGTGATATGATAACTATGATTAGATGAGAGGAGGGGAAAACTATGCATTGTTCTGTTTCAAGCATCAAGAAAAGAGGAATAACAACAACAAAAACTTTCTTTTACTAACCTTGTTTAATAAAAAGACAGCATAGGCAGCTCGAGTTGTATCTTGACCATCCAAAAACAAAGGGAACTCTACGAATTTGGAATTTTGGTCAAGTGTGGAAATCAGAGACATTTCTGATGATGAAGGCTCAATGTAAGGTGCATAGTCTCGAATGTATGTTTTGGAACCACCAAGGCGCAAAGGATACCGGATAGGCACTCTCAAGTACGGAGCTATTAGGGACACAGCCTGCAAACGCCAAGCAGGAAGCTATTAGTACTTTTCTATCAAGAATTTTAAACCATATAACATTATTTTGAATTCATTAGCAATGATTCTTGAAAACCAAGGCAAGAGATCTAAGGCCACACAAAAAAAAAAAAAAAATCAAAGTACAAAGCAAATTTTATTGCCTAAATCATTAAGGAGAAAGAGAGCGGAACATACATGGGCTACATATCCTAGGGCAGTTGCCAACTTCTGAACTTCTTTCTTGTCGGTGAAGAAGCTCATCTTTGTAAATGGGGCCATACTAAAAGGCAACCCCAGAATTCTCACGGATCCTTGACTAAGAGGCTTAGTTCCTACACAAGCCGTAGATAAGATATAAGCATGACAAGAGGGTAAGATGCAGCAATTAAGAACTTTCTTCAAACACTTAACGACAACAAAAGCAAAGTTAGTCCTGATATCAATATCAGACTGAATGAAGTAAAGATAAAGGCATGCATGAAAGATGTTAAGGAGTTAGGTTTCATTTTCATCAAAGGCTACCTTCTTAGTTCTTATAAGCTCTTAGACTCGAATTATACAAACTGACCTAATCTATTGCCACCTGGAAATGATTCCAGTTCTTGGTCTTGTGAAGGTCCTGCCTCAATCTTCAAGGGATATATAAATGAAACTTGAGATACCATGTACTGCTGCCTCTTTCTCAGCTTATTCGTTACAATCTTTAGATGTGCATAACCATTTTCCCCTTCTAGTTGGCAGTTTGACTCCTATGACACAAAAAAATAAGCTAAATTGAGTACCTATGATTCAATGATTTATCAATTGGTCAGAGCATGGAGAAAATACTGCAGAAAATCAGTTTGCCTTCTTGAAGCAATTGTCATCAATTCATTTACTCAATAACAGAATTACGAGACAGTTGAATGAAGAATTAAGTACCGAAATACAAAAAGAAATTAAAAAATGTATGACAAAGATGGGGCGAATTGAACATAGGGAAAACAAAAGAAGCATCTGAAACAACTAATGTGAAATATCTAAACACCAAGACCCCAATAGAAAATGTACAAGTGGTGGATTTGTCTTCCTAAGAAGATTATTTTGCATTGAATGAAGTAATACCTGCAATTTGCTTTTGGCGATGGAAAGAGTTGTGCCGCCTACCAGCAAAGATCTCACTTCTGTACTAAGATTATCCTCTTTCTTTTTAACATCCTGTTCAGTAACTTTGCAAGCAATTGATGTCTTGTCTACCAACAGTTTTCTCGCTTCAAGCCTCTGACGCATTTCTTCAAGTTCATTAGTGCGTCTCAATGATTCAGTACTAACCTGCCCGAAATTTAGCCGCCCGCTAATCCGCGGGCTAATCAATTAAAGCTCATTGAGTAGATAATGTAAGAGATACACACTTCTCTCGATAAACTTCTAAGGGTGAAAGTCTCAAATGCCATAAGCAACACAATTGGTCCTCAAATTGGCTTCAAACAGATTCTAGGTAGCTTCATTCACATTCCTTATGAAAATGCCACTAATACAAAAAATCTATCCTTTCCAACTAAGAAATGAATCAAGACATTGCCCAAATAGAAATCACATGAGTAAGAGAAAAACCTGAATAAGAGACTCAAGTTTGGGCTGCAGGCTTAGCTTCTTCTCTGTAGCTAATTTAAGAGCAGAAGAAAGACTCCATAACCTCGTTAGCTCATGGTCGAATTCTTCCCACTCTATAATCTTCACATCTTCTCGATCGCTTCTTCTCGAATTTTCAGACAAACTTGGCTCCGTTTCTCTTTCCATCAACAATTATCTCGGAACCCACGCAACGCAAGTTCTGGCATCAAGTCTTTCATATGCTTTTCATATCACGCCTTCGAATTTCATCACCAATCTTAATGGAACTGAGAGATCGGATTGGAACAATCAAAAACCCTAATTGAAGGTAAAAAAACGATCTCTTGGAGATGATTGGTACAGAGGAAAAGGGAAATGGAAGCAAGAAACAAATCGGAGAAATGAGAGATCGATGCGTAGGATTGAAGAAGCTTCTCGGGTTGATTCGTGCAAACCGATTTCAATTTCGATTTTGCCGATCATTTTTAAAGTTTGTTACTTTAGGAAAGAGAGAGCGAGAAATTTCCGGGTTAGAGATTACCCGAGTTACTAATCGGGTGGGTAAAGTAAGCAACGTTGGATCCGCCCAAGTAGTGCGATTTCCTCGTGGAAAGCATGAATCTCTTAACCGAAGTTGTTTGGTTGTACCAAACCGATTATTTCGTATTGGTTATCTCAATTTTTGACCAATTATTATGTATGTTAATCTCAAAACTCCTCTTTATACCAAATATTTTAAATCTAGTATTTTTTTTTTGTCAATCTAAATTGGAAACAACAATATACTACTTGGAAAGAAGTCTTTTTGTGCTTAAAACTATCATCTGCTGATGCTCTTCCATACGATATTGGAACAAATATCCTTAAAGTGCTTAAAGATGGCGTTCGAGCAAATATTTCGGCAATATTTTTGTATTTTGAGACACCACATACGACGGAGGAATTTACAACAGATTACCTTGTTACCATTAACAAGACGAATGCTAAATGGAAGACATCTTTCTACTTCAACCAAGTTCTGATTAGGAGTACCTTGTTGGCATGTAACAACAAAGAAGAAAATATTGAGGCTGTATCACAAGCAATATTGGATGTAGCCTCAAAAGAAAGTAGACACTAGAGCAAGAACGCTTTGTGATTATTTTGTCTTTTGTGTCTAAAAGTTGTACTTATTTATTTTTTTTTGCCTAATTTGAAACATGTTGTATGTATTTTTTAATTATATGTCCAAAGCTATATTTTTAAAATATTTATAACCACATAAAATATAATATACTATTTTTAAATTGTTTTCCAATATTTTACAATGTTGTTGGATAATGAAAAAGTCTATATATTATGTTCAATCAACGCATTTTCTATTTTCATCCCTACGGACTAGAGTGCAATAAATATAAATTCTATTCGAATCCTAATTAATAAAACTCCATAGTATATTTATTTATTTTGTTATACTTATTTACACGTTTATATAATATGATAATATTTATTTACCCTTTGTTGATATTCTTCTTATCACATGAATTGTAGAATTTTGTAATAATAAGTCTAATAAAACGAATATGAGCATGTGTTAAATTACTTCATATTCCATTCAAAAAATCAATAATAAAATAACTGAATATTTTATTTTGATGGTTATAAGTGAGAGCAGGATAAAACGAGATGATGGGATCGAAAAAGGATCAAATAGGAATCTCAAACTCAAAAATTGAACTTAGTTTGATACCATATTAGTATTGAGAAGATGGAAAGACGTTGGAGAAAAAGTTAGTTATTTCTCATTATTAAGTAAAATGTATATGTACAAGTATTTTTTGCAACTAGTAAAAACTAAATCTATACAATACAATCCGTAAAACACATTTTAATTTATGTAATTTTGTACAAAATATGTTCTCAAACCTCCAAAAACTTCAAGTCAATCACGTGCATGATCTCAAATTCCTAAATTTGGGTTGTATTAGGGTTAGGTCAAAATATTGGAAGACCGATCAAAATTTGGCTTAAGTATTAAGAAAGATTCTTTTTATGAAAAAGTATAATCATGTCAAAGTTCAATTCCACATGCTTTACATTTTAGAAACCACAAAACTCATCATGTCAATATCATTATATTAACAGAAGAAAACAAAACGATGTCAGCAAGTAACACAAAAGAACTAGTACTTAGGGGTTTTGGTTTGAGCTCAACTTTTCCATTTGAATTATGTATGCATAGATTTGAGCAGCAGTTTAAAAAGAAACAAATCAATAACTGGGGAATTCGATGTCAAAATCAAATGGTTGAACCTTCTTTATTCTTGAATTGATGTCTGATTATATAAAATTCTAAGGATCGGATAATATTTTTTTGTTGAATTCTTGAATTGATTCCTACTGTCTTTTGACACAATGTGTGTGATCTTCATGTCACTTTTCATCTATATAATGATCTTGAATATACATGGTTTTACATATCTTCCATTTATATGATTAAGCTATCCAAATTCTTGAGAACGAAAAGTGAAACTGTCTTGTCGTAACTAAGTTGAAAACATTCTAATTTATTTGTATACAAAGTCAAAACCCAACCATATATCTTAAGGAACGAGAAAGAGAGAAGGTTGTTACTATAATATATGCATATAATGCATCATTTTAAAACAAATGATTGATGATGTACTTACAATCACAAAAATGCATCTGAAATGGGATTCAACATCCTAAAAATCTCTCAACCAACTCCATTTCACATAACCTCAAGTTTTTTCAAATCCTTTATCGGTGAATACTCACTCTGAAGATCTTTCCCTTCTTCCATCATCCTCTTTACCATTGCTACCCTCTCAAGAGTCCTATCCACTGCTATCTCAAACGCATCTTCGATCTTCTCCGGTCCAACCAATCCCGGTTTAGTGTATATTATCTTCGGTATAATCTTCGCAACCTCGTTCCTCATCCTCGAAATACTCTCCATATCGATCCCACCCAAGAACTTGTTGAGACTAAACGTTCCGTTTCTCATTTCTTTCTCCGGTATGTAAACCGAGTACTTGGTGTAATCCTTGGGGAAATACCAAATATACTGGTTATAACCCGAACCCGGGCTAAAGAAAACCGGTATACAACCCGCCAAAATCGAATCAAATATCGATCTCCGAGTATACGAATCTCCCGAAGGTTGTAAACAGAAGACCGAATTTTCAAACACCTCCATGATCTTAACCGGATTATCACAGTCATTAACATTACAGTTAAGGAATTTGCAGTTACCTTGAGATGCAAGGCACTGCTTGATAATCTCTCCCCTTATAGATCCATCCAGATTAGGCCTTGGACCTCCAACAAACGAAAACAAATATTCCCTCTTCAAACTCTTCACTTTCCTCTGCCATCTCCAAATCTCGTTTAAGCTCTTTGGATGGAAATAGGTCGGATAAGGAACCGCAAACTCGTTAGCCCAAGCAGTTGTTTCTATAGCTAACATTGTCATGTTTGCGAATTCTGGTAATCGCATCAGCTTGTTTCCCCAGTCTGAATCTTCATCGCGAACTCTCCTGAAATCCCAAGCTATTCTTCCGGTTACAAAGAAGTGGTCTCGACCGTGCATCTTCCCCCATTCTGGTTTCTCTCTTAGCCATCGAGCCAGCTTTATCCCCAATTCGTCTCTCACCGTCATGTTGTATCCCCATAGGTGACGGCTCACGTCGAACCCCGCGTAGAAAGGGACGTAGACCGCTGAGGCTAGAGAGGAGTCGTTAGTCAGACACTCGTAGTGTTTCATCCTCTCTCGGAAGATAACAGCCAGCAAGAATTGGTTCGTTGAGTACCAAGAACCGGTTTCCACGGTTAAGACTCGAGCTGTGGTGTTATCGGAGTCGGAAACCTGTGGACCGAGCCCTGAATTAACCATGAATGGACACATATCGAACCATTTGATGAGTGGACGACAGTCTTTGATTATGTCGTCGTTGAATATGCTTGGAAGATTATGCATATAGATGTACCTTCCGGCGCAAGCATCTGTGTCTTCTTCCTCAGGCTGTTTCGCTCTGATTCCATCACTCTCATTCGCATTCCTGGTGAAACTTAGAGTCTGATTATGCGAAGAAGCAGCGATAGAGATGAAGAAGTTGTTTACTTGATGAGTGATTTGGAGATTTGTTTCGATCAAATCTATTTTATTGATTTGAAACAGAACAAAAAGACAGAACACAAACGTAACTAAGATGACAACCCAAATCCTTGGAACTTGTTTCATCATCTTCTTTTACTTGTGAGAAAACATTTGGTTTTACTTTATGAGAGATCTAAAACTAAAAAAAATGTGATCTCAAGAAGAAGGAAAAATTACATTTTCTTCGTTTTTAGTGGCTTTAATTACATCTTCCAAATGAAGTAATAGATAATTCACCATTTATGATAAATTGAATTCAATGGATTATATTTAGATACATGTCTTTTTTTTTTTCCTGAAATTTCCATATAGGACACCCAAAGATGTCAAGGAGAGATCTCAACTCTTTTACCCAACTGTACTCCACAAAATTTTATTGGAAATTAATATATGAGTACTAGGAAACTTTATAATTTGCTTGACCAAAAAAAAAAAGGAAACTTAATAATTACATGCTCCATAATATTTATACTAATAATATTCTCTTAAGGCCAATTTCTTTGCATTTTAAGAGATTGCAAATCCAAGAGTGTATATACAAGTGATCATTCAATAATTATAAAATCTTTGATTTTTCATGATTAGTTTAGAGGAAAAACAAAAACACACTATTGTATATAAAACAATTGAAGTTCATGGTCATTTAGATCATTTGTCGTGGGAAAACCATTTAAATGACAATTGCAGAAATTTCTGATTAGGTAAGTGAAGCTTTTTCTATCTATTAAATGAGAAAATTGTGTTTGTGACAAAGATTTCCAATATCTTTTAATTTTCTACCACAATTAGCTGAATATTTTTGACACTTAGCGAAAGTGTATATTAATAACACGGCTCGATTTAGAGAGGCTAATCAAAATATGTCTGTTGTATGGTTTTGGTTTTGGTTTAGTTTAGTTTTAGTTATAAAAGAAAGAGTTTTCAACACCATTGATCACTAAACTATAAATTTGCAATCTATATAATACTTCTAATTTTTAGTATATTGCCCTTAGTAATATATGTAGTTGCTAGTTCGGTGGCATATCTTGAACTCTATCAAGAACCCTAGCCACTGCAATTTCAAACGCATCTTCAATCTTTTCCGGTCCAACCTCCCCAGGTTTCGTATATATTATCTTTGGTATAATCTTCTTAACCTCATTCCTCATCTTCAAGATCCTCCCTTCACTAATACTTGCCAATAACTTCTCAATACTAACTTTCCCATTTTTCACATCTTTCTCCGGAATGTAAACCGAATACTTGGTATGGTCCTTTGGAAAATACCAATTGTACTGGTTATAAACCGAATCCGGGGTAAAGAGAACCGGTATACAACCGGCTA